AGTTTTCTTCCCCCAGAAATTGTTGAGCAGTGCCCTCGGTTTGAAAAGAACAGATCTTGCTTGAATGGATTTATTACAGCTCAACTTCCAGAGCCATTTGACTTCACCCTACATGGTACAGTTCCTTCTTCATTGATCACTTTCCTATCCTGTGACTGTCTTACATCTGCATAAATCGATCCCATGAGCTCTGGATTCTGAAATTGGACCCTCACCGGCCCCCAGTAGACCTGTCCTGATGAAAGTGACTAATGACTGAAGTGAATTGGACCTGTCTAACATTTTAGAGCACTTGTGTTCAAGTTGAGATCCATCTGCGATGGAATGTTCCTCATGTTTGGGCATTTCTGGGGGAAAAAAATTGTAGGTGAAGTAGGGTTTTATCATTTAGAAAATGCTAAAACTTCCCTTTTTACGATTATCCATCGATGAGAAGGTGAACATCATTAAGAGGGGAATTTGTAACCTGTTAATTCTTGAGTAGAATTGAAATAACATCCTTTTCTCCTTTAGTACTGTAATGCCATTTGATGGCTGTGATGATAATTTGACCACCTGAGGCAACCCCATTGTAAATGACCTATATGACCACCTGAGGCAACCCCATTGTAAATGACCTATATGACCACCTGAGGCAACCCCATTGTAAATGACCTATATGACCACCCGAGGCAACCCCATTGTAGATGACCTATATGTACCTGATCCTCAACAATTCTGAGCAAATTCATGGTGCAAGATATGTGTAATTTTTGCACATCGGCATGCCATATCACATTCAAATTCTATATTTTATGTGATGTTTTGGTTTAGGCAGGAAAGTGACATTAGATGTTGTCCTGCAGGCTGGGCTGTGCCTCTAGGTCAGCCAGTGCCTGCTGGGAGGGATATGGGGAAAGGATAAAATGACTAATTCTCTCCAAAATTGCTCATGTTCAGTATCTTGAATTGTCAGCAATGGGATCATTCTGATGAACACCACATTTTTGTCCCTTGATGTGTGGGTCTGTGTCAGTCGAGCTTTCCCAATGGGAAAAGTACGGATGAACCATCCAGGGCAGCATTCATAGTTGAGAGCATCGCGTGCATCAGCAGCTTCAAGCTGGTTTTTGCGATGCCTAAACTGAAATGGAGGGAGAAATAAGATTTATAACCAAGTGAAAGAGATTTCTGAAATACATGTAACTTGTATGTATGAATGGTTATTACAGAACCCACAAAAAATATGGAGCAACATCCCCCACCCCTTTTGACAAGTGCCACCCACCTGTGGATGTCATTGAGGAATTTTCAGTGCCACATTCTTGGTTAAGATCACAGGTGGCCCAGGTGTCTTTTTGGCTTGCAATTTTGAACTTGAGACATTAGCTTGTTTGATTTGTGCCTGTGCTGGTCCGCAACAGGTGGTGAGATCCTTTTGACCTTGATGAGCTTCTAATACATGAATATCCAGAGGCTTTGCTGGTCAGAGTTGGGTTTTTATCGAGATACTAGAAAAGTTAGAGTGTTGGTACATTTACCAGCTTGTGTCATGTGCTCATGAACCTAATACACATAAAATAACAAAGAGTTGTATATTTTTGTCAATTTAGCAGTTGTTGATGAGATGTTTACCTTCCAAGTTCAAGCAAAGATCTGCTTGGTGGTTAAACAGAGTGTATTACCACTCCACCACATGTGGGAAATAGTTCAAACAGTGACCATTTACCGGTATCAACAGGAACCAATTGAAGCAACCAACAGCGTTCCTGAGGAAGTGACTTTATCCCTGCTTTGTCTAATGATCTCTGAATCCTTGTGTAGAATGGAAGTAGACAATGATGTATGATTGTATGTCCATGGTCCAAAGGACTGGTCAAATTTACGTAAACAGGAAAACAGTCATGACAAAGAGTTTTATAGTCAGTGAATATTAGATAGTGAAATTAGCCGTCAAGGTTTTTTTTACTGAAAGGCCTCTTCACCATGTCTGCTAAAAGCGCGTTAACCTTTAAAAGCCAGCAAATATGAAAAAAATAGTCAAAAAACATAAAAGTGTCCATTTTGGTATTTTAGTTTAGACACTTTGCTCGGAATGGAAAATTAAGGTGTATCAGGTTGAAGTCATCCGTTTCAGTACTGTTTGGGGTCATACTTTGATATAAACCACAGTAAATGACTGTGTAACATTGAAGCCATTGCAAAATGTACCCTGTATCTTGCATATGTTCTGGTTTATGTGCATGTACTATGTGTTTTCCAGCGAGACAGGGCTATATAACCTTCTTACTTTAGAACTGCTAGCTTTACTGCATACAGTGGCTTTTGCCCTGATACCAACCAACTGACTTGATGGGGTGCAAACCCTGGTCCTGTGCAAAGAAGAACAGAAGATTTAGTGTGTTGTTTGCCTGGTCAAAGGTCAATGAGGAGGTCATTTGGTTTGACCTGGTTTTTCCTCACCTTTGGGGTCATGTAATGCAGCACTGGTGTTTTCCTTGTGAAGAGCAATTAAGTTAATGCCATTCTGACCTTTCTAGGACCCTCAAAGAAAATAAAATGCTGTCATTGAATAATTGCTGTTGAACTTAAAAGAACAGTTGAAACTTTGCTGTTGTCTATTGAAGGCAGGCAAGCAGCTTGAAGAGGAGAGGAGTCATGGAAATGGACGTGGCAAATTCCACAGTGATCTAATTTTCTTAAATTTATTTTGTCGTGTACTTTTCACTTATGTTTTATGTTCAAAGGAATTTTTTGTAAGAAAGCAATGCTCATGTATATTAAATGGTACAAGAGAGTTGACAGTATCTTAGTATAGGTTCTTTGTTTCATATGGTGTTCTGCAAAAAACTTAGGTCAGGAATGCAGAAAATATGACTGAGCCTAGCAGGTGCTTGGGGCCTTGGGGATTGCATGACTCACTCACCTGTTGTATCAGTACTGCCCCAGTCAGGACAAGGGACCAATAATTGATTGATTCAGGGGTGACTGGCTAAAGGAGCTGGCTCCATGTTCAACCCCAGATACAAAAAAGTTCTTCCTCTTATTCGCTAGTGTCAGGGTTGTCAACTGGACAGGTCAAAATCTTTGTGATCTGAATCTAAAGAAAACCCAACTCCTTTGTGTTCTGGTTTGGTTGCATGGAAGGCATAGATTGATGGTCTTTCAAAAAACTCTCCCTTTTCAGCCAGCAAGAGTGGAAAGCTGTTTTAAGGAAGGACAGATTTGAATTATGACTACAATTTGAGTGAAGATTATTCATCCATGAACAGACACACATTCATAAATCAGCTGTTCCTGAACAGTGCTTCAGCTGCTCAACCTAAAAATTCAAGTCAATGTTTATCCTGTAGTTTTATCCAAATTGTTTTTGTAAATGTTTAGTTTACACAAGTGGCATAATCTTTAGGTGTCAATTGTGCATGTAGTAGTTTTACATCAACAGATGTTGATACCCTACAATTTATTTCTCATGTGCATATATTGGTGGCATGAACATGTAAAGGCTATGACCCAAGTTATGGGGTCACAGGATGCTTTATTGGGCCTGTCAGTTTTCCTAATACGGCTTGTTCCCAGGGTTGTCCTGTCACTGATCCCCTCTGGTTGTAGGAGGTACACTGTCATCATTGGTTTCCCCCTCCTCTGTCAGACATTCTGTCTCCGTCACAGAATTTAAGATAACATGTTGATAGGGGCTACAGGCCAATCACATTGCAGTTATTCTAGCCCCTCCCCTTTGATATCCTTGTTCTATTCCTTGCCAAGCTACTCCAGCAATTCAATTTTTCAATCCCTGCAATTTGATCCTTTGGAACCCGAGCCCTGATTTGTGGTTTTTCTCTGGTCAACACTGCACAGGTTGGCAGGTGCTCCCTTCTTTCATTTCAATTCAAAACTTTAGGATATTCCTGAGGAAATTGTAAAAGCTTTGCTCAGGCTTCCATGGAGGAAACAGGGAATTAAGTATCACATTCAACTTGGTGGTAAATGTATTTCAAGTTGACCTGACTTTATTCAGCATCACTTTCTCCTCCTGATTAAACCCATTTCTAGTTTTTCTTTTCTTTTTTTAAAACTTGGCTCGCAATGGTCAGCACCATTTCCTTGAACGGATTTCTTTTCCTTCATATATTCCATAATGTAAAAATGAAGCCCCAGAACAGAAAATGAGGTTACGATTTTTCACTACTGAGAAAGAGGTCTTAGATTTTCTCATCAGCTATGCTACAACTCGGGTATCAACATGAAAATTTGACAAAGCCCACCAACCAAAGCTGAATTGAAGAAGACAAGTAAGAAATCCCAGTCTTAAGTGCCCCACTGAAACTTTGAAAACCAGGTCTAGGCAGACCTACAGAATGTTGCCAGGTTGGTACCAGTAGGCAGGTACACATGTAAATACCTCTGCACTCAACATCAGCCTTGAGGGGGTTTATTGATGTAGTAATGATGACATCCAGAAACCCCTAGTCAGCCTTTAGGTCTCAGTGATGGGTCCAACAGGACTGTACCAATACGAGAGAGGCGGGATACCGGTAACTGTGTGTGGTAGCCAAACACAGTATCATCCCAATCATAGCATGGATACCAGTCATTTGTTCAGTCACCCAGGGAGTTGACCCACCCAGGGCATAATGTACTCCATGAACATGTCTGGTACCCAAAAGTGACCTCATAATGTCTGGCATTTTATCTCCCATGGGGGCAGACACCAGACTGTGTCATAACATTTTCTTTGGAGACCTGGGGAATGATTCCAGATAACCAGGTCTTTTTCAGATTGGTGTCTTCTGTCTTGGCTCAAAGTGAACTTGTCATCTGCTTGTCTTTGAACTTTCATCTTTCTATGTTATTGATCTGTCTGAGAGTTTGGGTCAGTGTCTGAATAGTGAATATTATCAACTTACATAATTCCGTTAGTGGTTGTATGCATTGATGAGAAATCTTCTAATTTTGCCATATTTCAATTGGAAAATGAACTCATTGTAATGTAGATTTTTGTCTTTCTTTGACTGTAGGTATGACATCTGTATGCTGAGTAACCGGCCTTGTGGTACCATAGGTGAGTGAGTGTCTCAATTTCTTATCTAAAGTCACTTCTGAACTTTCATAATCTCTGTCACTGTTACATTATTTTCCTTTGAGGCAGTAGCATTGCTCCAACTCTATGGAAGGGTGTCTAAGACATAAGAGCAAACTTGATAAGGTTTCAGCTCAGTGAATACTGTATATTTCAAGAAAAATAATCTAACATTTCAATTTCCAGATCAAACCTTGGCAACTTACCAAACTGTGTCTTTATACCTGTTGCTAGAAACGGCCTTTTTTCTGTTCTTGAAAAAGACAGCTTACCAGGCAAAATAATTTCACAGGAAGTTTAAGCCCATAACCATCTTTAAACCAAGTATGCTTTCAACTATGATTTCATTGGTTATTTTGTGCATAACTACAAATGATGAACTGTAACTTGAAACGGTCCACAACATGGACTAAGACGTACAAGGCAGAAACCATGACTTGACACTGCTTCAGTTGAAAGTACTGATTTGGGGCTGTCTCTTTCAGGTTTGGCTCCAGTTGGTGTGATGTGCAATCCTGGCCAAAGTTGCAACATCAATGAGGACACAGGTCTGGCTACAGCATTTACCATTGCTCATGAGATTGGCCACAAGTAAGTACACTTCTTTGGTTGTGTCCAAAACCTAATGCTAATCTTCTGTGTTCCAGTCAAGAACCTCAAACACAGAGGCCTACGCTAAGTGAAAAGTGTGAGGCAAAAGTAAACATATGTCATCAGCTGTGAGCTTTGCCTTTGTTCAGTTTTACCATGAAAAGCCCTGAATTTGTCCATTCAAATTGAATTTTTCACACAGATCAGGGATTTTGGGTTAAGTTTGTACAAACTATGAGTCCCTTTACTTATACACTTGGGATCTTGGGTTTGGAATGTCCACTTTGGGTCTTTGCTTTGGCTAGGTACTGGCCTCAGTCAATTTTCTGTGCCCTATTTATATCTGGCTTGTTTGACTGCTAGTTTTGGTATGAAGCATGACGGTGACGGGAACGCCTGTGGGACGAGGGGAGGTATCATGGCTGACCAGATCACAGAGAACACCGATCCCTTTGTATGGTCAGCTTGCAGTATGGAATACATCCGAAATTACATTGAGTAAGTTGGGTATATAGAATTTGTATTTGGGCATTAGAAATGATTTCATAGATGGTTACGGATGATATTTTGTTCCATTACATTTTGATTTCTGTTGTTGTTGTCTTTCCTGTGAAGTTCAGGCAAGGCTAACTGCCTAGACAATGCACCAGAGCTAGTCAGCTACAGCTATCCAACAGCAATGCCTGGACAGCTGGTAGATGGTGACCATCAGTGCCGGCTACAGTATGGACCAGAAGTCAAAGCATGTAAAACCAATGTAAGTCCAGCTGTCCGATAAGCAGTTTATGCTTGAGACTTGAAGAGTTGTATTACCATTTTACAAGCTTGCTTTTGGGGGGACTTCCCCATTTATTTTCCCAGTGTTATATCTTCCTTGCTTTTCCACGTCATCTTTGAATCAATCTATAAAGTGAAAATGAGTGAAAGTAAATTATACTTAACGGACTGTATAACCGGGGGGGGGGGGGAATCAGGCATCCATAGTTTTTTGGACCAGCTCATTGTTTGCAAATAATTACATTGGTATCCAGTTTCTCTGAAATAATTGTGCAGAATTTGCACTTAATCATGATAGTCTTTCAGAGGGAAGCCTATGTTTGAATAAATCAGTGTGCGAGAAAGCGTACAAAGGTACATGCATTTGAACGTTTGACATCCAAAGATGGAGGTGACTTTTAAGTCCCACTGTGACCCAGTTCCGTTTGCTTGCAGAGCATCTGTCGGGAGCTGACGTGCCTGAAGCCAGGTTCCCGATCCTGCTGGCGAACAAACACGCCTGCAGCTGAGGGGACAAGGTGCCAAACGCCAAGCACGCCTGTCGGGGTAAATAAACTCTCACCATAAAATGATTGATTCTGAAGCTCATGTTTTCCTTTGCATTTAGGTCAGGTTGAAGCTTTGCCTTGCTTGTAGAAGGGTTGAAGGAGCTCATTAAATTGTCTCCCTCTTAATGTGTTTATTTTAACAATATTGTCATGGGGTGTTAATTGTATGTTTTTCTCACATGCCTCAATAGTCAATGCATTAGCACTAGGCTTAAGTGGTCATTACTTGTAAGAAGTCTTGGAAACACAGCTGTTATTTTTACAATGGAAGAATGCCAATAAAGGTAATATCTGCAGTGAAAAATCCAGCAGAGATACCCAAAAAACCCAGTTTGCTTCATCGTCCCATAGGAGATTGAGGCAGCTAACTGGAGGTACAAGCAACGTTCAATACCACTGTCTAACCCAGCCAGCGGCTAAACACGTTTTCCTCAACAACTTACGAGGGGCTTCACTCGTACACTGTCTGGGTTGGTGGCCTTGACCTTTGGAGGCTGGGAAAGTCTGAGCAATTAAGCAGCAGTGATGACGGGTTTCTCTTCTCCCGTAACCTTCCCCTTGTTCACCTCTCAGGATTGCTAACCAGGGACCACCTTCCTCGCTTTGAAGAACACAGATTGTTCCTCCCTCTGCTCCAACTAGTGCCCAAAACTCAACATACAGAGGTTCTCCCTGGTAGAAATAGCCCCAGAATTCTTGGCTCTTTTGTTGGACACATTTCGAGGGAGGCTTATTTTATGTACCTCTTTACTTTGTTTGCAGTGGTGCTATGGGGGCGACTGTGTACCATACGGGGAGAAACCTCAAGCAGTAGATGGGGGTTGGGGTGCATGGTCTGAGTGGAGCTCCTGCTCAAGAACCTGTGGAGGTGGAGTCACTGTCTCAGAGAGGCAGTGTGATAACCCAAGGTATAGTGTGATATTACCGAGAGGGAAATCAGCTGGAACTATTGAATGGTGTCAGGATATTGTATCTGTCTTAGCAGGGCCATGGTAATATGCAGATTTTTGTTCAAGAGATGATGAAGATGTAGTCATTGAAGCCAAAACAAAGTCATAAATATGGATTGTTTGAAATTGAGTTTTGCACTGCAGAAAGATTTTATCTTGAGTATGGGGCAATAGTTAAGATATTTTGCAGGGCACTATATCTTACTGATGATATTTCATAGGGCACTATATCTTACTGATGATATTTCATAGGGCACTATATCTTACTGATGATATTTCATAGGGCACTATATCTTACTGATGATATTTCATAGGGCACTATATCTTACTGATGATATTTCATAGGGCACTATATCTTACTGATGATATTTCATAGGGCACTATATCTTACTGATGTGTTGTGGAAGTATGTTTTCAAGTGATATCATTCTGTTTTGCTTTGTCTTCTGTCCAGACCATCTCATCGAGGTCTCTACTGCATTGGAGAGAGAAGTCTGTATAAATCCTGTAATATTGATGTAAGTTTGATATGATCAAAGTAAAAAACAGCGCAAAATTGCCAGTAAAGATCATCTTCAGACATTCTGAAAGTTCTTGCCATGCACATCTTAAATGACAATTTCTTATATATGCAAATAATCGTCACCTGCTCTGCCCAGATGAAATTGTCAGTTTCTACTTAACGGTTCGTATTTCCTTCACAGAGACTTTTTTCTGTCTCTTTCAAATTGTGGTGTTTTCTAAGCTAAAAATTAGTACATGCTTGCCTTTGAGGTGTCCTAACAGAATAATTCTATGTAACACTGACCAATGCAGGGATTAGCCTATACACAGATAGATTGTCTCTCTTTCATTTGTCCGTGGTTACCTTGTTTCAGGAATGTCCAGTGAACTCCCGTGACTTTCGATCCGTCCAGTGTTCTAACTTCAACAACGAGCCCTACAGTGGACGATATTACTTCTGGGAACCCTACACCATTTCGGACATGGGTCCCTGTGAGCTGACTTGCATCACTTCAGGAGGGGAACACTTCCGAAAGGTCAACAAGATTGTGGACGGGACAAGGTGCTTTCCAGAGAAGATGAAGCCAGAGGTTTTGGATATCTGCATCAACAAAAAGTGTCACGTAAGGGATTGCCACATCAATAGTTTAATGATCACTAGAGATTGATTTAAACAAGGTTCTGTAAGCTCTTGGGGGCTATGTTTGGTTCCGTGTCATTGTGTGTAGTTCATATTGGTTTATTGGTTTAGAGTTCTTAAAAGTTGAGTGATCTGTGTTATGATCTGTATTGGCATCAAGTCATTGAAACCTATATGCTTTTCTGCAGCCTGTTGGATGTGATAAAATTCTTGGATCAGATGTTCGTGAGGATAAATGCCGTATATGTGGTGGTGATGGCAGTACGTGTGAGACAGTCTCCAAAAACTTCACCAAGTCTTTGTCTGCTGGGGACTACCACGAGATTTTCACAATACCACGAGGATCGGTACACATTAGAATAGAAGAAATGACTGCATCCAGAAATTACTTAGGTGAGACTGGTTCTTTATTTGACTTAACTGTCATAGAAAAACAGTTTTTGAAAAAGGGACGAAGAAATATTGACCGCTCTATTAAAATTGTGGGAAACTATTAATTGATACTTATCTCATTGTCCTGTTTTGTTCACCAACCCTTTGTTATATCAGTTGGGAAATTAAATCATATTTCACTGCTGTTTGATGTGAAATTCTAATGAAAACTTGCATCTGTTACAGCCTTAAAGTCAGTAAATAATGACTACTATCTGAATGCGGAGTGGATTATTGACTGGCCAAAAGCCTATGATGTCAGTGGGACCACCTTCAAGTATGAGAGACCCGACCAAGGGGTGGAATCTCTCACTGCATTGGGACCAATTAATGAAGAACTTGTAGTTATGGTAAGTCCCAGCTGAAAAGTGTATTGAATAACTCAGAGATCATTGCATTGATAGGTCTTAGGTTGTTGCACTTTTGCCTCATGATCATCAAAATCCAGGTAAAACAAATGTTCGCTATTTTCTGGCTGGATATCCAAGTCGACGTAGTATTCAAACTGTCTCTACTGTGCATTGCAGTCCATTTTGTGCCTCAGTGTCGCAGAGGCAGCAGCGTATAGGAAGTGTACACAGACTCTAGCTGTGTGTCCTAACTGATTGATTTCTTGTTGACAGCTTTTAGTGCAAGAGGACCAGCAAGGTATATCATATTCTTATAACCAACCAGTGACTCGACAGGGTAGCGGGGATGACGAAGTGGTGTTTATCTGGCACTGGAGCTCTTGGTCTGTCTGCTCAAGCACTTGCGCAGGAGGTGAGTTGTCAAAATAAAAGAAGAAAATTGATTGGACAGGACAAACTTCGTTACTTCCAACCTCACTAGAATGGTTGAGAGTTTCATTGGTTTAGATCATCTTTGTAAACCTAAGACCATTGCAGATTTCCTTAAAATGTAGTGTATTTTCTTGCATTTATTTGTCTTGCATTTAATAGTCTTGCATTTAATAGTCTTGCATTTAATAGTCTTGCATTTAATAGTCAACTTTGGCTAAGAGCAGACAATCACAAAGTTGACAGATGCTGTCGTGGATTGAAGTTTGAGAAAGATGTGGGTTCAGTTTGATAAGTGAAAAGAATTTGTGGAGTTTATTCCTGTCAATCATTAGAACTTTTTCCTTGTTTGTCCAGGAGAATCAATCGCTGAGGTCCAGTGCATTCGATATGATGACAAGACTGTGGTATCAGACACCTTTTGCAATCCAGGAACAAAACCAAGCCGACGGAAGCAATCATGCAACACTGAACCCTGCCCACCTGTGTGAGTATTTGGTCTAGTATTGGACGTTATCCTGTCAGGCCTGTGTCTCTTCATTGAGAGTAGTGTTGTGTATGGATTTCATTACATTGCTGCCATTTTATCGTTCATTGGTCCATTTTGTTCCAATCATTGCAGTTGGTCTGAAGGTCCATGGTCCGAGTGTAGTCAGACTTGTGGAGGTGGTCGTAAGACACGGACGGTGCTGTGCATGACTAAAGTAACCCAGCTTGAGGAGGAGGTAGTGGACGAATCGCAGTGTACCAAGCGTAAACCCATCGACCGCATGAATTGTAGCATGCAGGAATGTCCACCACAGTGGGTAGCAGAGGCTTGGTCACAGGTAAGTCCCGACTCTCTGCCCAGTGGATGATGTTCAAGAGGATGAAGACTACGTCCTGTCTCTAAACAACCCTTTGTGATGGTCATATGTAAGGTTTATAAGGTCAAATAGAGGGTTTGCATGGCTGCCATCTTGCAGGTCAGTGCTTTTGTTCCACAGGATATACAGAAAGGAGGTTTTGCTGTGAAACAATAGAACTGCCCTGCCACGTAAAGCCTCTGTAGGAGTTGAAGCTTGAGTTGTGATAGTCAGCCATCAAGGTTCAACATGATTATGCTTGGAACCAGTTCTGAAGAAATTGCAAGTCACCAAACAACATTTTTCATTTCACTGCTTTTGCAAAGATATATTTACTCCTACTTTATAAGCCTGAGATAGCTTGGGCTGTATACTATATTCTCAAAAAGCTTTGGGAATAAAATGTTCCCCAAATTTGTTGATAAAATCAAGTTCCAAAATAAGTTTAGACTTTTGTATCACCATCTCCAATGGCTCACAATCTTGCCTTCCCTTGCAGTGTGTGCCAAGTTGTGGCCAGGGCCACCAGACTAGACGGGTAACCTGTATGACAAGTAAAGGGGAGCCCTATCCTAACATGTGTAACTGGGCTACTCGTCCATCAGCCATAAGGGAATGCCAGACGGCTGGATGTCCACCACCACGCTGGGTAACAGGAGAATGGAGTGAGGTAAGATGGACTCAGACTGAATAAACAGCATGTAGTTGATGCTAGTTGTGATGAAGTCTTGCATAAACCCACTTAGAATGAAGTCAATATCGAGTTGTAAAAGTCTGAAGGGTCATTTTGTCTTCATCAAGTCTGAAGTTTCCACTATTCATTCTCAAGTCATGGGTCTTTGTGGTCAAGACATTGGCAAAAACTTCCGAAGGGCCTTTGTGGTCAAGACATTGGCAAAAACTTCAGAAGGGCCTTTGTGGTCAAGACATTGGCAAAAACTTCCGAAGGGCCTGGCTGCAAGTTTAAAAGTCTGAATGTGACATCTCACAGTTGTAAAGGATCAAGTCTCAATGTAAGGTTCTGAAGGTTTGGGTCTCAAATCAAATCTTTTGCAATCAATAATGTCTCAGACAAATTTCCTATGGTAGGCCTACCACAACTTTGGTAAGTCCCTGTGAGCGGAGTAGCAGTTTTGGGATTTGTTTGGTAGTGTCCTTTGTTACCTTGGTTTTTTATACCTTGTCATTTTTATTCTTTAACAGTGCAATGCAAGGTGTGGTCGCGGTCAGCAGCAGCGTCAGGTTCGATGCCTCTCCTACAACAATGTGCCTTTAAGGTCTACCTACTGCAAGCAATCACCCAAGCCCAATACACAACAACAGTGTGAAAGCCCCTGCGTTTCTAAACCAACAGAGGAAGACGGTAAGTCACTTAACATCCTCAATCTGTTCATTTGAACTTGAGTTGAGTGCTTACTGTTGAAACCACTATTCATTACCTTTCTGGACTTGTTATCTCACTTATCGATTGCACATCATGGATAACATGGGTTATTCTTCCATTTTTAGAGTGCCAAGATGCCCCCTCTGTCCAATACTGCCCTCTAGTGGTCAAGTACAAGTTCTGCAACAATGAGTATTTCCGTAAAATGTGTTGTCAGAGCTGCAGCAGTCGGTAGGAATTACATCATGGCTCCCTGCTCAACCCGACCCAACCTGACCTGACCCTCTCTCCAGTCACATAGGAGAAATAAATTCGATTCTTCTCGTCATATCGCATAAGTACGTTTGAGGTAAGCCATTTATAGCAGCTATAAGTAATGGTTCCAAAGTTGCTCTGTGTGGTTAACACTCACGTACCTCAGAACATTTGAGGTGTCAGCAGACAGAAATCATTGTCAAAAAACAGCGCTGTGTTTGAAGAAAAAAGAAGGGATCTTTTTCTCTGTGTGGGGCATACTGATTATTGGGTGTTTATAGTGATATTTGTCTTTGGAATTAGTTGGCAAAATTGAACTAAATGAGGGCTTGACAGGAAGTAAAAATAAGAAAAATCTTTGCACTGATTCTTTCCAAAATATTTTCGAAATAAGTTTGAATAGATTTGTTTTTTAATCGCTGCATAGTTTAAGAAGAGAGAATTCAAGAATATGATCATAATTTAAAATGGTTATGGCCCGACCCCCAGCAATCCGATAACGGTTTTGAACTTTTGCCATGAAACAACCGCTCCGAGCGTTTTGAGAAGATACTCAACTGATTGGTGGAGTTTTTCACAATGTACAGAGTAAAGAGATATGAGCTTTGTGGATATTTTTGTATTTATTTATAAAGGAAAACTTGACATTAGTGGTAAATTAAGGTTTTATTTTCTTCTGTAATAAAACAGAAACAGTTGTGTGTGCACCGTCCATACTCAAATATATTTCTTACATCATAGCCAAAAATTGAGAAGAAATACTTCTTACCGTCAAATGAACTTCTTGAGCAAAAAAACTCACTTTTTTGGTAGAGAAAGACAAAACCTGAGCAATCATGTTGGTGTCTCGTATGACTAAGTAAAAATAACTGACACAGGGAGAATGCGTCAAACAAAATCTCTGTGAGAAAGCAGTCTTTTATTTCCACATTGTTTGAAGATGCCTGTCTAATGTTGCTTCATAAGAAAACTTAATTTGCTTTTTAATGTGTATTATGTGTACAGTATATATATTCAATCATTGCTCAGTATTACCTAGCTTGTGTTAAATGCATTACACCTTTAATGTGTTGTTTTTACTTGCAAACAGTATTTATAAGTGAAAACAAAAAGGTATGAACAAGTGCTTCATATTTGATGTTCCATCCTATTTCTATTATTTCTTTTTGCTTTGAAGAAATCATGATTATGCCATAACAGGTAATATGATTAAAACCAGATGTTTTCATTGAAAATTTAATTTAAAAGTTGAAAGGGGATTGCAAATAGTGATGTGTGTATATAATGAAAGTTGTAAAGTAATTTGGTAGGCAAATGTTTGCTAAATTTGGACCTATGATCAGTGAATTGGAAAATGCATACATAATACTAGTATCGTATTGTGGTTTTGAAAGGCACAGTCATAGAACATGTGCCAAATGGTTGAAGATGATTTTGGGGGGGTTTGCAAATGTCACATTGCTGGATAGGCATATTATCGGGGGCTGCCTGCCTGTGAAATGTTCACATGGAATTGGTCAGGATGTAACCAGTTGCCTTCTAAATATCTGTTAAGGCAGTTATCAGAAGAGCAATTACGTGCTTCCACTGTTTTTATTAAGTAATTGTTATGCAAAGCACAAAATGAAATTAATATTAGACTCCAGTAAGCACAATAAACTGAGGTCCCAATAGTGCATTGCACCGATGGCCAAAATGGTGTGTAACTGATCTCTTAAGGGAGACTTGAAATGGTTTGTGCACCATGTATCCCAAGCACACTGGTAAAATTACAGATGACCCTTGATATGATTGGTGGTGTTTATTGTGAATGTGGTTTACTTAGCAACAGAATGAAGTCAGTGAATTGTTTGCTGCCACCAAGAGTCTCAGAGTGTCACTTGTAAAGTCCATTTCGTTTGCACATTGATTTCAGACTATGCAGGCTTGGAGCAGGGAAGGGAGACTTTTTGTACAATAAATTTGTTTTGGCAGGCACTGATTGCAACTTGCAAATTTGGCTGTAAACCTGCAAAATCAGCACCATTATCTTGACCTATTAGGGTCATGCTTAAGGCTGTCAGCTTCCACAAGCCTGACTGGCCGAACCCATTGTCTATAGTTTTGTAATAAGTGTAAAGATTGTATAGTCTCTGTGCTTTTGTCCATCTGCTTAATTTTGGGTTAAGCTTTGGTGCTACAAATCTTTAATCATACAGGATTCATTCAAAAATGTTGACTTGCATGTTTAATATATCAATTACTTTCATTGCTTGGGGCAGTACTCACAAAGGCTTGGAAGACTCACTTTAAAATGATTTAAACTGTATAATTCTTTTGTAAAGACACTTAACTAAATTGGACTAACACAAATCATTGGAGTACACATGATTTTCTTTTTATATCATTAGATTATCAATCATATTTATTATTGGTTTGCCTCATTATCACTTTTCAAACTGTAAATAGAGGAGCTGTAGATTTTCAGTCACTTGCCATGAGCTGATTCCAACTGTTAGAAAAAAAAAGAATCCATCAATGTAAAGTTCTTGTGAGTTTCTATCTGTCCGTAACAGCTTTGCATTGCAGGGTTGGAAAACCATCATTGGTTCCATACAAGAATGCATTTGAATTGTACTAAAGATGTGGATATCGGCCAGTCAATCATTCGTTGGGTCCAGTGGTACCAACCATGCTGCCTTGTCATATCATTGGTTGTTAGTTGTAACAAGAGCTAGAGTGTTATTCATAAATTATAATTCGTATATAATTCATATTCAAATTCTGCCTGTATGTTAAAAGTAATTATGCTTTTGTGGAAAGGGCCATAATAGGTGGCTGTATATTCATAAAGCATTTGTTAAAAATTTGGTTATTTTGGCCGTGTATTGTATTAAACCTAAACAACTGGTTAAGCAAGGTCTAACTCAATTATTTGTGAGGAATTCATTTTACTCTGTTTTTACTAGAATATATAAAAAGAAAACCCCATATTTTTCTAAACTCTGCTCAGAATGGCCATGTTTGATGAAATAAGAGACTGGGTAACTTGAAAGTCCTGCTATAGTCCTCGCTATTGCTCATTTTATTCCATCAATGTATTGGGTCTTGTCAGGGAAAAATATTTTAAAAGTATCTGGCAACTTTTCCTTCCACAAGTGGAATGGTAATGACTCGCGAGTATAAAATTTTGAGTCGACCCATTGAAAAAGCAACCATTATAAATCTAGAGCGAGTGTTATTTTTGTTGTTAATTTGGGATTCCTGATTGGTCAGTTTCAGAGACCTTTAGCTACAAGTGTCATTGAATTAGCCTTTTGCTAGTTAAATTTGCATAAAATCTGGTACACTGAGTTCTCTAATTCCATGTGAACGTAAGCTGAATTCTCCATACTATAAAGCCACTGTTGCTATATCTCGTGATTCGGGGCAAGCTTTTCCTTAGTTATAAAAGAGAACCAGCCCATTCCATAGATGGTGGTCTTTAGTGTCTTTAATCTGGGGAATTCAAGTTGTTACGTTTATGTGCAATCAGATAACTCAGTGTACCAGATTTTATTCAAATTCGACTCGCCAAAGGCTTGTTAGGCTACATTTATCGGAGGGTGACCGAATACTTTGACTTTTTAATTCTACACCTTTTCCTGTTCCCTCAACGTCTTTTGTAAATCATTTAGGAATCAAGCGACTTGCCTTTAATAGCACAATGTTTCTGTCGTAACAGGGAATTAAGCTCATTCATGATGGAGAGGAAATTTCTTAAACAATAGATGGAGCGGCTATTTGGAATTTCGACTGGCGCATAGTACGCTGCGCGCGCACCGAAAACACGTGGTACTTTCCACAATTCATTTCTTGGTGGGCGTGGAGGATGGAACGCTGTCAACTCTTTGTGACAAAGTGAGTTTCGATATTTCCATACTTTTACCATGATTATCATATCATGTTTGTGCACTGACGGATTGAGGTAGGGCCTATATAAAATGGTGAAAAAGAGAACGTATGGCATAATTACGTGCAATTGGTAGTTGCTCCGTGTCAGTTGGGTGTGGCTTTGAGTTCACGGTACTGCAAATTTGTATGCATAAAATATAATGACAGTATTTCTGGATTCGGTTTCGGAATGCTAGGAAATGGGCTGAAATAATAGGTAGCCTGAGTTGCTATTTAAGGACCTTAAAAATTAATAGAAATATCTGTCCACAGATTTGGATATTAAGATATTTCCTAAAAATTCAAATTGTGAAGGGCTTGCTTTTCCATCTCAATCTACTAAAATGTTAAATGTTTTATTTTCTGCTCGTAATTCACGACGGTAAGGGGTCAGCCTGAAAGCCTCATTGAAAATCGGGAACGAGATATTTTACTCAAAATGCAAAGCGAGAAGTTGGGGTTAGTCTTGCAATCCTCTAAACTTGGGAATAATTGAATTTCTCCCCCAAACTCGACCTGTAGGAGCAAGCCTCGCAATTCTATTAAAATTGGGAGTAGTTTTATTTTCCTCAAAATTCAAATCGTTAAGGGTAAGCCTTGCAGTATTAAGATTTGCAAGATTTTAATTTTTGCTCAGAATTTAAAATGATCATTAGCCTTTTATTTTTTAATCTTAATTTTATTTATAAATATTGGGAAACTTGGAGTTTCTGCACAAAATAAAAAATGGCACTTGCAATCTTATTAAAACTCAGAAGAATTAGTTTTTTGCTCAGATTTAAAAAGACAAGGCCTTAACCTTGCAATATTGTTAAAATTGGAAATATTTTCATTTTTTCTCAAAATTAAAATCGTAATTAACATTTGCAAGATTTAAATTTGTGTACAGAATTCGAAACGGTAAGGGCTAGAATTGCAATCTCATTAAAAATCTGAAAAATTTGGTTTTTTTTGCTCAGAATTTAGACTTGCAGTTTTATTAAAAATCGGAAATATTGGAAAAAACAGATTTCCTGCTCAAAATGCAAAAGAGTAAGGGCTTAGGATTGCAAGGAAATCCTCCAACTTGGGAATTTTAATTCTTTTCTCAAAATTGGAATTGTAAAGGGCTTGCCTTGTAATTTAAGGGAATATATTAATTTTTTCTCCGAATTCAAAATGGTAATGTTGTTGCCTTGCATTTTGTATGAAAATTGAGAGAAATAATTTTTTTTGGAAAACTCTAAACGGTATGGGGATAACCTTGCATTATTTAATATTCACAGCAATGTGAAAAATTAAATTTCCGTTCAAAAACCAGAATGGTAAGGGTTAGCCTTGTAATTTCGATCAGAAATCAAAACGGTAAGGGGATAGCCTTGCAGTTTTATTAAATCAGGATTTTCTGCTCAAAATGAAGACCGGCAAGGGGTTAACCTTGCTTTCTTATAATTGAGAATATTTTGATTTAAACTTCAAGTCGTAAAGAGTGAGCCTTGCACGTAAATTCGAATTCATAAGATATTAATTTTTGCTCAGAAATCAAAACGGTAAGGGTTTAGCCTTGCAGTTTTATTCAAATCGGAAATAAGATTTACTGTTCAAGATGTAAAATGGTAAGGGTTAGCCTGCAATCTAATTAAAAATCTTTAAAAAAAAGGTTTTTTTTGCTCAGAATTGACAAGGGGTAAGTCTTGCAGTTTATTAAAAGACGGAACTATAAGAAAAGTAGATTCCCTGATCAAAATGCAAGGTACTGTGGGCTTAGCCTTGCAATCTTATTAAAATGGGGAAGCTTAAGCTTTAATTCCCCCCCCCCAAAAAAAATGAAATCGGGAAGGGTTTGCTTGTAATGTAATTAAAATGGGAAATATTTTCATTTTTCTCAGAATTCAAACCGGAAGGGGATACCCTTGTTTTATTTAAAATTCACAATGTGAAAATTCAATTTCCATTCAAAATGTAGAATGGTAAGCGGTTAGCCTAGCAATTATATTAAAATTTGCAAGATTTTAATTTTTGCTCAGAAATCAAAACGGTAAGGGTTTAGCCTTGTCAGTTTTAATCAAATCGAAAAATGTGGAGCTAAAAAATCCACACGGCAAGGGATTTGCAATCTTATTAAAAACTGGAAAAAAATACTTTGAATTTACAACGGCAAGGGATTAGCCTTGCAATCTTATATTTGGAAATTGTAAAATTTTTCCTCAAAATTAATATCATAAAGGGTTGGCATTGTCATTTAAATAAAATTGGGAATATTTTTATTTTTGCGCAGAATTAAAAATGGTAACGGTTTGCCTTTCGTTTTTGAAGAAAATTGGGAGAATTATTTTTTCTCAAAATTCAAATTGTAACGGGTTGGTTTTGATTAAAATTGTGAACTTTTAATTTTTTGCTCATAATTCAGAACGGCAAGGGGTCAACCTTACTCTTTCATGACAAATTGGAAAAAATGCAAAACGATAAGGGGTTAGGCTTGCTATCTTGACTTGGGGATTTTGCATTTTTCCGAAAAATTTAAATCATAAGGGATTAGCCTTGCATTTTTAATTCAACATTTACAACAATGTGAAAATTGAGGTTAGCCTGGCAATTTTACAAAAGTTTGCCAGATTTTTAATTTTTGCTCAAAATTAAAGGAGTTAAGCCTTATAATAGTAAAAATGGGAAAAATTGGCAAACACAGAAAATTCAATTCTAATAAGGATGAGTTTGCAATTTTATTACAGGGCAGATTTTTTGCTTAAAATCCAAAATGTTGCAGGGTTAAAATTGGAATTTTTTACATCTAAAAAAAGATCATTTTGCTTAAATTAGGAATGCTAATTGCAATTGTTTGAAAAAAGTGTCACCAGAATCTTGAGGTTACTTGACAGAAAGCTTGAACAAATGTACTCACCAACTTTTATATAGCCATAACAGATCAATGCTTTTTATTTGACAGTAATATACAAAATGCATAATAATCAAGATTTACATCAAATATTTTATACAAACAAAATGCAAAGCTGCAAATATTGACCCTAATACAACGAAATAATGTCAATGCTTTCGCACCTGAATGTATATTTACACATCTATGAATTTAAAAGCTTTGCAAAAAAACTTTTACAAAACAGAGGTTAAGATAGCTGTCCAATTTAACTTCCAGGATGAATAGAAACCCGATGAAAATTAAGGCAGGGGGATTGGGGAGGGGTCGTGTCCATTACCAATGTCCTAGGGTATGGCACGATGCATGTAAACTGCTTGGCAAAAATGACATATGGCTATTGCAGCCAACATTGTTTATGTTCAGCCAACTACACACCGAGCAGCTGTTTGAACAACCACCACCACCTTGCAGAATAGGTTCATTTCAGTTTCTATGACAATGTGACAAAACCTCAGAACAGTGATCCGGCTATGCCAATTTCAGAAGAAAAACTCAACAAGATGGTTGTTTCTTACTCCATAAACAAACATTCGGCTATTATTCTCTTCCCCTGATTCAACAAACTGTAATAATCTTTACAATAAAATGACAAAATCATTGTTTGAGCGTTCAAGCTAAATTGGAATTGAAGAGATGTGCAGAGCTGGTAACAATAATGCTAGAAGGGGCAGTGTTATACAAGTAGGAATACCCTTCCATCCCAATTTGTACACGGTACACCATTAGCTGTTATTCCTAAGGCAAGTTGGATCTTCTTCAAAAATAACTGAAACAACTAGTGTTTTGAAACAAGCCACACCCTTCCCCAAACTGTCCTCAATAGTTAAAGAAATCTTTGTTTTCCCAAAGAGGAGAATTTTTTAATGAAATCAATTCAAGATTTAAAAAAAAGGGAAAGTAAAAGATATATCTTGTATGTACAAAAGCTTTTTTAAAAGCTGTCACACACACCAAAAACAAAATCAACGATGGACACTTACGCTAAACAAAATAGCAATGTAAGGCCACAAGAAATACAGATTATTCTAACTACGCATATGCACCGCGCGTGGCAGGGTACCACCACAGTTCAAAGATTACTTTGTGCACTTCAACTTGTAACCAAGTCAACATCTGACATTTTACACAACATCAAAATTAAGAATTACTCTGAGGTTAATTACTGAGGTTACTTCATACACTGGTAAATGCTTTAATATGGCAAGGCAGTACTAGAAACCAACATGCAAGCAATGCCACCAACTCACTATTGTTGTTGATTTTAAAATACCAACTCTTAGCAGAAGCGATGTCCGATATCATCCAACTGGTTTGCGCTCACATCCTAAACAATCTTCATTGTTTAAGTAAAAAAAATCACAGCCCAGCATGAAAGAGTTTAAATCTTCAATACTTTCTGATTTACAGAAAAGGTAACATTCACTTTGATATACCGCATACGTACTTGAGAGCTTTGGAAATACTTCTGTAACGCAATAACAACAGTGAATGAATAACCAAAATGAACAGTGAACACTTGAAGTAAATGGACAATGCAAGCCATACATATTCATGATGTCAATTACATCCAAATACAGAGAGCAGTTGTTAAAGATTTTCTTAGCACAGGTTACACAAAGGTGTAAGCATGTCATCGATGAAATTTTCAAACACAGATCATCACAGGACTTCACTTCACTAGGGTTAAATGTACAAAAAACTTGAGGTCTCCTCTTTATAATTAATTAAACTTAATCTTCAGTTTGAACAATAACTGGCAAAAATTTGTTGGTCTTACAATTACAATAATAACCTTCAACCCATTCCCAATTGTATTAAAATGAAGGAATGGGGTATGGAAGCCAGTCTAATGTAACACCAGATTTTGTCATGAACTTCTCCAGGACTTTTGTCAAAGATCTTGTCAAAGTCCCAAAAGATACCAGGACAAAACATATTACAAAAGCACAATAGTCATTTGGACAGACTCGCTTACAGAGAATTAACCACCTGTGGGATAAATATGTCAAGGGTAACATAGATAAATATATGTGGATGTGAAAGTTAGAGAAATGACTTTCATCCAATTGATAATTGAACTGATCAAATAAGATTTCTATCCACTATTAATAAATACTCAATAATTAATGTCGATTTGATCAATAAACTATAAACATTTCAATACTTTGAGTACTTACATAGATGAAATATTTACACATATTTACACAAATGTACCCTGATTATTCACATTCCCTCTTGCCTTCAATTCCCATTCCAGGAAATCCATGCCAATTTCTAAATATTCACATGATGTAAAGACAACGTGACATCTCTTAGGAAGTATGGTTTTGACGTCCAAAGCTTTTTTGACAAAAATCTTTCACATGCTGTCTATATTTTGTGGTCAAACAGAGCACAGCCCAGCTCCATCCTTCTTCAAAATGTGGTGTCTTGTTTTATGGAAATCTAGTCAGCTGCCACTCCTTCCAACTTCTCATATTTTGAAAAGTTATTAATAGCAGTTTCCATCTTTTTCCAAAAAAGAGCACATGTTTATTGCCTTCAACAATCCTTCAAACACTTGATGCAAATCCAAACATTCCTTTAAATAATGTTGCAAATGATAAATCCAAGTTAGCATTTAACTTCTTGACTTTTTTAAAGCTACCAGACCCCACTATTAAAACTATCATAGCGCCATCAACACCAACAATCTTATTTACAGTTTTAGAATTTATATAGGTATGTCTTTACAGGCAGTAACCATGACATAAGTTTTAGACAAAACATTACACATACATAATGGAGGCTAGGAATGTTGAATGCCATTAAATATATATCTATAGATATTACTTTGAAAATTGCCACATTTAGTTCATTATACATGCGCTTTTTAGTATTTTTCTCCTAATGTTCAAGACAGGAGGCAGAAAAACAGAAAATGGCAAAGGTTGAACAAATTAGTCTTATTTGCCCTTAGAAGATGATCGGCCAGAATCCTTTGATTTCTTGTCAGATTTTGTCTTGTCCCATTTACACCTCTCTAGTATGGTTTTCTCTTGTTTACCCTTGTCTTGTCGTGTCTTTTCTGAGATCAAATTTTCTTCCGTTTTGCTCCTATCTAACTTTCCTCTCTCTTTTGTTCTAGTCTTCTCAGGACCAGGACCGTCCTCTGACTTGGATTTTGTTTTCTCTGACTTGGACTTATCACCTTTAGATTTTTCTGTTTTAGTAGTTTCGATGACGACTGGTTCTACAATGGAGCTTTTGTCTGGTTTTTCTTTGATTTCCTGTTTGATTTTCTCAGAAGCCTTGGTGTCTACCTTAAATTTGTCTGTTTTGTCAATTTCAACCTTTACCTGGTCCGGTGCCTTGGATTTCTCTGAAGTATCTTCAATTATATCTGGGATGGGTACACAGTCTGTTCCCGAGTCTGCTCGATGTCTTGGCTGAGCAGCAAAGAAGTCTGAAGTGGGTCTCTCATGCTCTGGAGAGAGTGCACGGCGTAGAAGTGGAGAGGGCGGAGTGTCTAGATTCTTAGGTCGGATGAACTTCTTGGGTTTGGCTTTCATTGGTGCTGTCAGGGTGGGGCTGGCTAGGCCATGAGCTGGGTACGTCTGTGTCGTGTTGGAACTCCCTGGGGAATGACCCAGGTTAGTCACGATAGTGAGTGGACTTGGAGTTCTGACCGGTGATGTTGGAATTGGCGATGAACTTGGTGTCCTAGCCAATGGCGACAGGGGAATGTGACCCACCGACTTCCGTCGAGGTCCACTCTTGTGGAATACCCTTGGGAGCTTGTGCGCAAGGCCCTGGAGAGAGCTCGGCCGTGAGGAGGAATAAGACGCAGACATAGAGGCCGGAGAATTGGGGCCACTGGACCCTGAGGAACTACTTTGAGAGAGATTGACTGGAGAGCTGACTGAGGCCTCCAAAGGAGCATGGAATATCGGCGGTGAGCGAGGAGATTTCATTAGGGTAGGTGAACGAGGAGAAGCCTCATTAGATGGTGGTGAGCGATAAGCCACCATGCTGCTTCCACGACCCCCCGACAGTGCCAGGGGCGAGACCTGATCAGCAGATCCCTTCCTGAGACTTGGCCGGCGATAGACGGAGCTGCGACGTTTCCTATCGATGGTGTCACGACGCTTGGACTTCTTACGACGGCGTGCCATCTTGCTACCGGCCAATGTGTGACGTCGGCTGCCTGTTTTGATGGTGGTGTTCTCCAACGGAACGACACGGAGGACTACTTGGTTCTCATCACTGAGCATGAGCTCAATGATGTCACGATGAATCAAACCTTCAACAGGTGTATTGTTGATATGAGTAATGAGATCCATTGGCCTCAGGCCAGCCTCATAGGCTGGGCTTTGCTTCTCCACATTCTGTAGCAAAAGAAAATAAGGCACATTGTAACCAATATCAGGTCAGCGCAGTGTAACAAATAGACAAATTCATCATCAAATGAACATGGGCTGGGCAGGGCATTTGTCATGGAAGTCCAATACAGGCTCCATTCAACACCTGTTACAGAAAATTGACAAGCTAAACAAATGGATAAATGCCAACTGGTAAATGAATGAAGTACCTTCACCTACATTCTGGAATCATGGCCCACGTTTGTATTAGAGGAAACACATCTTTGAGGATTCACAAAGCTCATTTGATGGTGACTTGACTCCTAGAAAGCTGGAATGTGTACAAAAACAACAAGTTTCTTAACTTACCGAGACCAAATGATGGATGGTGTACACGTTGCTCTCACCAAGGTAGACCCGAATTGCCCGCATCTGGAATCCGTACCTCCGTCGCCGTGGGAACTTCTTGATTACGATTGGAGGCTTGAGAGGTCCTGTCGCCAGGGAGAAGTCCCTGGATGGTGAACCATCCCGTGAACTAGTGCCATCCCGGGAGCTGGTACTGGACTCACCAGGAGAATTGAGAGGGGATGGAACATGAAGCTCTTCTCCTAGAAAAGAACAAAAAAGTAAAGTTGACCATTTTAAATTGAATATCGCTGAAAGGGATTTTTCCCTGGACAGTTTAGATGTTGGTGCATTCCTCTTATATGACTGGAATGCTATCTCAGCATAAAGCATCCACACTATTAATGGATTCATTTTGCTTGGAGCTTTTCTGAATTGTACAACATCCTCTAAATACACAGGAAACCAATGCCACATTCTGCTTAACTCGAAGAAATTTCTCTTAATCTTGCAGAATCCTCCAAAACCTGATGAAGTTTGAGGGCTAGGAGAAAGTTGAGATAAACAAAATTAACAGTCTGAATTTTTACCAGTGAAATAGTTCAGCATAGATTTCACTGTGAGGAGGTCATACCTGTAGGGATGATAAGAGACAATGTCCCAGAAGATGCTGATTTGATGACCGGCCGTGACTGTCCAGCCTGGTCCACACCGGTAAGACTCCCCTGGCTACCAGAGCTGCTGTTCCCGTCTTTGGACAATGCTGGTGATGAGGACTGTGGTTCATTGGAAGATGACGATGCTCCTGATGGACTGTCCTCCTCCAAGGAGATGGAGAACCTTGGCAGGACATCCTTCAATCCGGGCTTCCTGGTCAGACGGCGATGAGTGCGAGGTGAATAGTCTGGTGTCAGCTCATTGGAAGCATGCAGAGAATCCATGATAATAGGGTCACCAGACCTGTGGCTGTGCCGTCTGAAAGACAACCCCAAAAATACTTCTATGACATACAGATGCTGAAGATCAAAATCTTATGAACTAGATTCCACTGAAGGTAAATCATTTTCTAGACACCACAAACTTAAACTAGTGACATCAGGAATCCGTTTTACCCAGGCAGATTACCATTTCTGTCTCACCTGACAACTGTCGGATGCTCCCCTGCCAGTTTCTCGCTCTTGCTCCTGACAGGAAGAGAAGAGTGACTAGCACCCTCTCTGTCTTGGGGCAGCGGAGGTGATGCACCAAAGCTAGGTATGGGCATGGGAGCGCTCAGCGATCGCTCACGACGTTCCGAGTCATCTGATGACTGAGACACACTGCTGCAGGAACGGTTGTAGCGCGGAGAGAATGTTGTGAAGTTCCCAATTTCCAATGTGTCTTCTTCTTCATCTTCCTCTGAATCCAGCTCGTGGTTGTATCGGTCAGAACGAGCTGGAAGACAACATGGCATCAACTTGAAATATCTCTTGGTCGGGGTAAAGGTACAACTGATCTCTAGGCACTCATGACCTTGAATAATTAGACAAAATTCAACCTACAACTCAGGACAATAATGTTTTCCTTCTTTGTTCTGAACTCAAAGCACTTTTGTGTTGTCTGTGCATAGTACGTTCCACATTTAAAGTCCTTCTGAAGCACTTTAAATGGCAATGCAGTTTGCTACTTTCGTGACATGCAATGTATGATTTAGTGAAGCAACTATCTCAGAGTGACAAACAATGACATTTCATCTGGGCATAACCATGTCAGCCACCAAATACTGCCCTGGGTATACTGAGAAAGTAGATGTCTGCAAATCTTAGGCAAGAGGGACTCACTGTCAAAGTAACTGGTGTCTTCCTCCCCCTCCAGCTGGGGTATAAACTCCGCCTTCTGTCGCAGCATGGAGCCCCAATCCAAACCGGCAAAGAAGATATGTTCCTTGACTTCATGGCTGCCTCCTGTGCCCAGGCGGAAATAGGGGTTCTGCTGAAGGAGTTTCATGATGAGGTCTTGGGCATCATCAGGAAGAGTGTCCTCACCATCTGGCCAATCAATGTCCACTGGGGGGAGAAAATCGGGCGTTAGATTAGCAGCTGTCTTAAATGGCTAGGTTTACACAGGGTGAAGCTGAGAAACTAGACCAGCACTCTTAAAGTAGAAGTGTGCACCAAGTTGACTGTTTATCAATGTCCACTAACGGAAAAAGATCAGGTGATAGATTAGAAGCTGTCTTAAATGGTTAACGCTGAAAGAAGCAGAGGTGCCAGACCAGTGTAGGATCCTGCACCAGGTTGATTTGTTGGTAACACTGAGTGATGCCAACACCTGATTAGCACCTGATGTATAAGTGGGTATATAATGAATGCAGATGGGAAGCCAGCATCACTTAACATCACTGTAAATGGTTAGATATATGCTAAGTCAAGGCTGGGTGTCAGACTAGTTGGCTGGTAATGATATTATAAGTTAAATTTCAAACATCGCTCAGCTGGTAAAAACGTCTATCAGTGCGTTTTTTTCAATTGAGCTATCTGCACATTAAATATGACGTAAATCATTTTTTTCTGTCTCTACTCACCATTGATAGCTTGGGTGAACAATTCTTCCGGAGTGTCTCCAAAGAATGGTGGACAACCAACCAGAAACTCAAACAGCACAACTCCCATGGACCACCAGTCCACCGGTTTCCCGTAGCCCTGTCGCAGGATGACTTCAGGTGCAATGTACTGGGGAGTACCACACACCTGCTGGTCTATGAACAGTTTGGTGTCATGGTCTACACTACCCTCATACAAGTTTGTCGTTACTGCAACAAGAAAAGACAAACAGTGGTCAAGACAATGCATTTTGCAAGTACTTGTACCAAATAAGTGTCTTTCGACACTTTCTCTTTGTCAATTAAGAATCTCTAAATTTGTAACAGTTTTTTCTGTTTGGAATACTCAATGTAGAAATGTTGCTTCTACAAATGGAACAAGCAGTGTCCCTCAAGCATTTCCAAATGGATTGGACTATGCTTTATTTAATGGTGATTACCCCTACAGGCAAAGGCTTTCACATGGAAACATTTTGCTACCATATTTTACAAACTTTCCGTTTGCTAAAATGTCCCTTTGAAACCAATCTTACTTGATTGAATGTTTGGAAGACTTACAGCTCATGAGTCCAATCTTGGAAAGACCAAAGTCTGTCAGCTTGATGTGACCAGTTGACGTAATAAGCAGGCTGGAGAAAAAATTATTTTCAAATGTAGAGAGTTAGACTAATATTCCTTTGTTGGCAAATTTGAAATGACTAACATTGTCACCCTACATTGACTGTAGACTGTATCATTTCCATCAATTTGTCATTTATTCTGACAACTACAAGGCAAACCACATTTTCTGAGATTTAGCTCTGCTTTTATTTGAACAAATTTGTTTCGTTTTGTTCAGTATTTTGCATCAATTTTCCAGCTATTTCTTTGACATTTCCTTGACTTTAGTCTAATTATCAACTATTCAGAAAATGCCTAGTCATTACTCCATTATTTCTATGTCCGAACGACACAGGAATCAGTTCTTACTTGTCGGGCTTGATGTCACGATGCACGATTCCGTAACTATGGAGATACTCAACAGCCAAGACTGCTTCCCCAAAGTAAAGCCTGGGAGAGGCAAATATATAGAAATACTGCCAGGATACAATATAATAACAAGATGTTCTGAAAACACTGGAAATTTGGTTAATGTGTCAAAAACATGTAAAATGATGTTGTGAAGGGTTGCTTGGTGAAAAGCCTGAGTCCTACACTGTATCTTACCTGGCCATTTCAAAGGGTAACGGTCCAATATTCTTCAGTAAAGTAGCCACGTCACCTCCCTCAACATATTCCATGACCATACACAGGTGTTTCTGTAGGAAATTACATGGATTAACTCAATCAAACAGTTGGTTTTCTTCACATCCGAACGAATAAGGCAAGCTGGGTGGTCGAGTGGTTAAGACGTCTGCACTAGTAAACAAGAGGTCATAGGTTCGAGTCCCACCCGAGTACGTTTGTGGTCTTTTCTCAAGCCTTCGGGGGCATGTATACACCGAGTATACAGTGTTAACATACACGTCGGGCAAGGTAAAAATCCAAAATTAACTCATGAATAAGGTTAGGGATTATTAATTTGTACTTTCTGAAGGCTACTCACCTCACCACTGTTATACTACAATCAACCATTTGGCTCTGTGTCAACTGTGGCTATAATTTTCAATGAATACCACAGTAAGCTACATGGATCCACCATCATATCCTATGCACTTGTACAGTTAACACCATGGTAACACGGGCCAAATAGTGTCAAGTCATGTGATGTACACACACTTACACCATTTAACATGGTGGAAAACACTGCATGGTAAGTGGTGTCCCATCAAGTAAAAGTTACAATAAATAGGATGGTGATTTTCCTGTTGTGGGTTAAATACTTTTTATGATAATTAACCAACCGACAATGAATCAGATCATTGGTTGGTTTCAGGCAGCAAAAATGATTTTCCAGCAATATGGGGGAACTTCTTACGAAGATTTCAAAAGCAACTACTGTGAAACACAGTTTCTGAATTGCTTTAAACTAAAAGCAATTTCCCTATCTGATTTTATTTTTGGAAGGAAGCCAACCTTGGTTTCAAAGCTGCAAAACATGCCGACCACAAAGGGATTCTCAGCAAAACTCAGGATGTCTCGTTCAGCAAAGACCTGGTCCACTTGATTGCGGAGAGCTAGGTTATGTTTCCAAAGCTTCTTCATGGCAAACCGCTGCAAGGTGGGTTTGTATCGCACCAAGTAAACAGCACTAAAACAGAAAAACAAAACAAGGGAAGGTTGGAGTGGGGATGGTCAAAAATCAGCAACAAATTTTGTTAAAGAAATGATAGTAACCCAATAACCTAGAACAAAATAGTTTCTTTGGATTACATAAATTGACTTATAAAATTTGACATTTCGCTCGTTTCAGGAAAATAGAGAAACAGATATAGGTTAAGCTGTTAAAGCAGAACTCTCACCCAGTAATCCCTTTAGGTACCCTGGGGCAACTACTGACCCCCATTCAGGTAATACGGGGTGAAGGGAAAGCTCGGGGGAACCTTATCTAATGAGTCCAGATGACACAGAAATTATCCCATTTATAGAGAGTTCAAATATCATAACCTTTTCTACAACCTTTCCACATTTGTCCATTTCCCCTGACTCTCCCAAGTCAATGGAAATCACTTGGAGTGGAACCTCTGGATTGGGCACAGAGGCACTCCTGAGACAAGATTTTACCTGGTACTGAGCTAGTAACTGCTAGGAGAGCAGTCTCTGAGTCTTCCTTGCTTACCCGTAAGCACCATTGCTGATAATCTTGATGTTCTCAAAGTCGCTCTCCTCTGGCTCCTTGAAACTGCTATGTCTTCTCTCCCTGTCACCCTGTTATGAATATTCAACACCTTTCAGAGCTTGCATTTTTCATTACTTAGCTCAGTGGCCCTTGTGCGTAAGTCTCAACCAACGTCATCTATGCGATCTAAATAATGCAAAGGATCATGGGTGAGCCAAACCGACGTGACCTCAGGGTAAAAGGCTTGCCAGTGTTGGTGACTGTAAGGCATGATGTCATCGATTGATGTCCAATCACAGTGTGCTATTCTGACTTCAGACATATCAAATGTCTTCTAAGTACATGTAAGAAGAACAAGGGTGTATGTTTTCAAATGCAGAATGTATGAGGAAAGGGATCACTATGAGAAACATGAACTTCACCAAAATCCAAAACTTTACGATATACAATTTCTGATTTATCTGGGGAGCTGTTGTTGATTGTTTGGTCTGAATGCTGGAAGGAAGTTGACTGACTCACAGTTTCATCAGTTTCAGATTCTTCCTGCTGCGATTGTTGATGTTGTTGATGTTGTTGATGTTGTTGATGTTGTTGCTGCTGATGTTGTGAGGGTTGTTGGTCATCATACACCATCACATCATAGAAATCAGCCAAGGGGTCTTTGGTAAGTCCTAGCTGACCAATGATGTACTTTGGGAGATCGATGGAAACTGGCCCGCCCACGTTCTTTGCATGCCCTTCGGCCTCCTCCAAAATGTGGTAGAATTCCTCAGGGTCAAATTCCTGGGGGAAAAATATTCCTACATCAACTTCCTAAAAGAAGTGATCTGTTTATCAACTCCACCACATTGAGCCTGAAGGCCTGATTTTATCATGTATCTCAAGCACACAAAATCTGCAAGGCACAAGAAGTATTAATCATCATGTTTAAGCAAAAGGTTAAGGGTCAAAGTTAAATGTACTGATAGCTCATAATTTGATAGTTCTCGGCTAAATGTTACATGTAGCTGATGTATCAGCCACAAAAGTTATGGGGCAGTGCGGACATCCGGGATTCTCGCAAAATGACAGGTACTGCGCCAGTGAAAACAGCGACCTTGGCGACGTTCGCATGCACCAGCCAGTTCGAGGATCGGATTATACAATCTTTTCTTTGATCTGTACGTACGCGCACGCTTGTTGCAATTGTTTTCATCGGCCGCGGTGCTACCCGTATTTTTGTGAAACTCCCAGATGTCCGCACTGCCCCATACATAAGCAATTTGTAATTCAAATCCAATGGATGACAATATGACTGGCATTTCAGAGACTTAAGGTTTTCATCTGGCAATAGTCTTCATTGACAGCATTTCCTGACAAAGATTTACAGCAGTCAACTTTGATGAAATCTCACCTACCAAACATTCTAGGAGTCTGCCAGGTCTAGCAATGATCATGAGCAATTCTCGCTCCACTTTAGCAAATGCTTGGGCAGAAGCATCGGACCTTCGCTCAGCCTAGAAAGGAAACGTATGAAAAAAACTTTCAGAGATAGACTTGGTGTGGGTAAGGTGTGTGGGGAGATTTATGGTATGGCGTCTGGACACAAGTACCTCTTGATCAATGAATATGACAAAGAATGCTCATGGTAAAGGTCACCAGAGGTCACTGCTGCTGTGTGGCATGCTCAAGAAAATGTCTCTGACACAAACCTATGGCGTTGTGCACACGCTGCTAAGAATGAGACATCTGTACTCTGTTTTTGCCATTCCTACGCTCAACTCAGGTGTCCTTTGCTGTGTTATCCATGGGCTGCACTTTGCCATCAACGGTTCCTGCTGGGATTCCACTGAGACGGAGTACCAGCAGGAACGGGAAGAGGGATAATAGGATTGAGTTTGGGGGTCTTCTAAGCCTGCTTGTTTCAGGCGGATTTGGATTGCGATCAGGAATCTGTCGTCGGTTCACTGACACCAGAACCCAATGAATGGATAGCATGAACAAGCCCTGGGATCGCTGTTCTTGATCCAGATCCACGTGAAACAAACAGGTCCTTGGTAAACCCTTTCCCCCACAATCCTTTGAGACACATTCTTTACCTTCTGTATAGTCTCGTGGTTTTTCCGCCAGTCCTATTTTTCCCTTATCATTCGGGCCACACTTTCTTTGCCTTTTTTCCCTTCCGGACAGGCAAGCTGGTTTGTGATACTCACATCCTCTGACAACACCTGCAGTTTGTTGGCCATCTCAGAGAGGTAGACGTGAGACAGGAGGTCACCCTGCGACTTCTCTAGACAGTCCCGAGCCAGCTCAATGGCATGGTGCACCAGGAACATGTAGATGGCGTCACTGGCTTCCATCTGGTCTGAGGAATGCTTGATGATGAAATCCTGAATGTCAGGCAAAAGCATATTAATATCGTGAGCTACACATTATACAGATCAGATTTTGCTGTTCACAAAACCTAAAACTCCCAAATGTGTCTACTTGTTATCTGTTTTTTTGCTCACTGATTTATTGTAATGTTATCCGACAGCATCAAGGTCTGAATTCTTACAACTCTGCCATGAAGGATAGTCTGCTTTCACCATTTCTAGGCTTAAAGGAGCACTGAAAGAATCATGGCACGATACATTGACAGCATTTTGCTGATTTCAGGTGACGGCTGTTTGGTTTACAACTCAGAACAGTTAGTCCAGTTCCATCTCCAAGTTCTATGTAAGTTACCAGTGAATGCTGATGTCTGCATACCATAACAAGACACACAGCTCAAACCAACATGTTCAATGGTAATACAGTCATTCCTCGCAGGAAAGGTTTTATAAGTTTCACCTCAAGTCCCGCAATATTAACGCCAACAGACAAGGACAGGCTCCAGTGTGCACTTACCTTCAGTCTTTTCTCCATCTGTTCCTTGGCCTTGGGGAACCGTTCCTTGTACAGACTGTTCATGATCATCAATTCACTGTCCGAGTTACTCATCAAGGGACTGCTCGCTCCGCTGTCAAAACCCAAAAACATGGCACCATCCGAGTCATCACAGGCTTCCTCCAAGTTTGACCACCCCCCAAAAAGTTCTATCGCAAACCTTTAGTCACATACTGTAGCATGGGTAGGCATTGAATCAAAAATCCTTGGCTTGGTAGCTTATTCATAAAACAGCTGATATGGTTTGATTCCCTTATAGTAAGAACCTTGATCCTATTTGGCTAAATGTTGACAAACTCAGAACAGTTCAGTCAAGCCACTTCAACTTGATATCCACGTTTTGTCTCAATACAAAGAATGCATTACTGGTTTGTGCAAATGCAGGATGATGTCCATGTAAGAATTAAAATGAAACTGGTCACCTTTCAAGTTTAAAGCAAAAGCGACAAAGTTCTGGAACACTTACATGTATTTAAGACATTATTTAAAGAAATAATAAGCAGTTCACTATAACGACCACTACCTCTTCATGGAATGCTGTGACACTGAAAAATTCACATAAAGTAATAAGTACCAGTGGTAATAACACTTCTGGCTGTTAGTAAGACAGGTGCATTAACGAATTGCATGTAACATAATGGGCTCCACACAAACACATGTAGCATCTCAACCAAGAAACTGCAAAACACTGACCATGCCTAAACGTTGTGGCTGTGACTGCAAATAATATGTGTTTCTAAGGAAGCTTTGTGCATTTCCCATGTCATACCTGTTATTGCTGGCCATAGCCACGTCATTTAGACAAAACCTACTCTAAGTGTTATTCATACGTATTGTGCCCATGGATCATAAACATATCAGTGAACAAACACACAGGTAGAAATAATCTTCAGTGCGTGACATTTTCATGTCTTGTTTCCCTTCACTTTCCACAGCAATTTTGTACGAGCCATGACCTCAAGATCAAGTAACCTCAGAACTGACATGATCCAACATCTGATGAATTACAAACTGCAAATGACAGTTTAAAGATCCAAATTTGGCACTGGACAGCTCCTGGACTTCTCTCTATTGAGGAAGGAAAACCTTGAGTGGCATCCACAGTGAGTCCAGTAAAATTACGAATGAGATTTGAAGCTATATCGGACCTATAGCAGACGTTAATGAGATCCAAAACCATATGGGAAGGGGGGGTGACTGCTTTCAACAGTGCGTGATTGAGACTTGAGAAGGGAGACATTCTCATAGAGAATTATTATCAGAGGCTACATCTCCATGTAGGGAGAGCAGGAAGAGTCCTTACTATTGCTAGGTATTGCAAGCTGCATTGAAAGCTCCTGGGGCATTTGCTATGGTCAAAGAGAATTTTCGTTTTTAGTAGACACTGCTAATCAAAAATAGATCAAGGAGAGAATGAGGCATCAGGAAGGAGGAGTTTTTGTTAGCATGAATTGTTAGTATATTCAATATTACGTGTACATAGCTTGGTGCATGCAGGAATATAGCGCCCTCTGTACAGCTGACAGGAAACTACCATGACCTTAGATCATATACCATATAAGAAGCTATTTAGCATTGTCTTGCATTGTTCAGATGCATAAATGTGGCTAGAAATGTTCACTTTTGCTTTTTGCAGTAATTCTTTGGAACGTTCTGCATTTTCATGGGGGAGAGGGGTTTCTTGGACAGATCCTTGCCATACAAAAAATGAAACTTGTAATTTTAAGTCTTTTTTTCAAGATGGACAATACATTACAGTATCTCTACATCTTAACAACACGATACAAGCAAAAATTGAAGCAAAAACAAACCAACATAATATCCAGCTATAATCTTGGCAACTACCAACATGAATGGTTCTGAGGGTAGCTTACATAATGTGTTTGGCAGGCATCTCGTGAATATCATGCAAGCACAACCAAGACAAACTGTTCATGAGCAAGCCAGCATGCAATGTTTGAAAATGAAAGTACAAAAAGAGAATAGAGAGAAATTAGCAAAGAAATGCAAATTTCAGAGGTTGGTGAACAGCAATTACAATCTAAGGTCTTGAGGAGGCTTCTGTAATTCCTCAGAAGACATTGTGTTGGAGTTCTTGTTGAGTCTACAGTGTAAGTTTCCACTATCAAGTCTCCTTTGTAATGTCTGAGTCGAAGTAATAGCCATGAACTCTGATTACACTGTGTCAGGTTGAAGTCCTGGGCCTATTGGTCGAGTTTTAGTCAGGGTTCTAACTAACGGAAGTCAGTTCACAATCCAAGTCACTAAATATGGACATACACATTACCAATGGTCACAATGAATTATGTCCTGTACATTCCAATTTATGCTTCTCAAATCTAAAGAATGATACGATGTAATTTAAAGATATCTCAAGTTGATATATCAGAGATACTGAGGCTTACACCAAGCTAAGTATGTCATACTCGTAGAGAGAAGGAGGTCTAAATTTTAATTGAACATTTTGAGCTTGATAAACTTCTTCGGTCAGAATGCCACCCCCCCAAAAAAATAGTAAAGAGACACAATAAACGGCAAAGGTTTGAGCTGAATTCACCTGTCAGCAAAGTGCAGGACAAAAATTTCATGAACAGATGCGGTAATCAAGCTTGGAAAATGAAGACAGAAATACATGTAGTGGGTTCATGTACTGTACTATAACATGCACTTTTATACCAGCCCTTATCAACCCATTAAGCATTCCAGTCATAACTTCCTTTCCTAGAGATGTGCTCTGGCAAAGTAAAGACATCTGCTCTTATACCACATACCTGTCAGACAACTTTTGACAAATAACAGCAAATTCCTAGAACCAATTCCTATCAAAGACAATGTTCCGCATTTTAGTTACTGGTAGCACACTGTAAGTTCCCTGAAGACCCCTAAAAGTGTAAGAACTTCAGTACAGTATGTTAAAATGAAAAACAAATAAAAGGAAATGGAAGCAGAAATAAAAATTTTAATCCTATTCAAGTAGAAAGTGTTTAAAGTACAAGTAAGACCACTTGCCTTTTTGAAGATTAAGATAAAAAAGGTACCTGTATGTGCTTAACATCATGGTGTGCTGCAAGCAATTTTCGTTACAGCTATGTCTTCAAGCCATTGATAATTCTTAACACTAACAAGAATCAGAATGGCTCCAAACATTTTCTGAATCACAGACCAAAGACAGGTGCAGGTTATAAGGCTGGGAAAACTTCATGCCAGGTTTAAGTACAAAACTCGCGAGACCTGCGTGGGTGTCTCTCTCTGGGTCAAGTGAACTATGCAGGCAGTAGCTTCTTCAATTTCCAATAACGACGTTTGACGGTAATGTCACGTCATAACATGAACAGCAATGCCAATATTCCCGCATAATCCATCACATAACAGCTTGCATGACAGCATGTCAGGGATCATCATGGATGTGAACACTATGATGCATGAAACTGGCTGGGTAGGGTAAAACTAACATTTTGAAGCAAAGCACAGATCAAAAGGACTCAATCTGATTGGGTCTAGGACTATAGTGGTCACTAAACTCTGAGTCAATGCCCATATATGCAAACAACAGGTACACCATGTACCAATGTAAAAAATAAAGAAATGAAGTATAATGTAGCAATAGGCAAACACATGAACCAGGCATGAAACTTGGGTATTACAAAAAAAACAAGGAAATCAGCCGATCCAAGAAAAGGTTGCATGCCTGATGAACTTAGGCAATAGTGATTCATGCAAAGAAACTTGAAGGATTGATGAGTCACCACAACAATCAATGTATGGTTTGCCCACCCCTTTTTCCTTGTGGATAGGTATATGACTTGCCCATCCCTCTTGCTTGCTGCCCATCTATTGCTGTCTCAGATTTTGAAAGTAACCTTCATTACTTGGATAATATTCTAGCAATTAAATTATCCATACAGGTTGCTAACAATGAGTGGGAAGACAGCCTGTTATGGAGATGGACAAAAACGAATCCAATGCCTGTGTCGATGACTAACCACATGTACTTGCACCTTCTCAATTTTGAGAATGCAGAGATCTTATTTTGGAAATTACATATTCCCATTGTTTTAGTTGCTCCAAGACGTGGCAGTTTAGGAAAACATACAATGCAAGCAGATGCTGATAAAGTTTGCCGTGCCCTACTCATTAAAATAAATAGAGATGAGCCTAATGAATTCCTTGTCATTAAATTTGCAAAGAGAAATGTCAACCATGCACTTGAATTGCAAATGGATCTGCATCATTCTCAAATGGTTCTTCTTGGACTTTCACTCTCAGAGTAACAGAATGCTCACTTTTCTCAGTCTTTTACATAGAAAAGTGTAAATCAATAAATTTCAAATCTGTGATTCATAAAAAAACCAGCTTCAGGTTCCCAGAACACCAACTTCTTGCATTTAAAGCCAACACCTTTCCTTTTCGTGACACCAAAACAAAGCTTGTTTTGAGTTCCAAATCAGGTGGTTAAATGACTAACATTTGTTGTCAGCTGACGTTCCTTTTAAAAGGTTAACCAGGCTTCAGGGGATTACAGGGTGGAACATTTCTTTTACCAATCAGAATACAGGGTGAAGTTACCATGGCAATCATTTGTGCGGCTACATTTGTGACACAAGTTAATAGTTAAATTCCTGTTTACTCTGAAGAGAGTCCCATTGCGAGACTTAGTTTCCTTGTCAAATGAAATCAAAAAATTCATGATAAGGAAGACAAAATCTTCAGACAAGTTGTGATAAGATCATTGAACGGATGTCCTTTTACACATAAGGAAATGTCTACTCCATTTCTTCAGCTGGCCTGAATTCATCAGAATTAAGACATTTGTCAAGAGCTTAAATCAAGGTCATCAGATTTACAAAGAAAAAAATACTGTTTACGACCATTAGAAATAAGGCATTCTTCAGGAAATAAAATTCTTGAGTTTCGTTCTCAGGATAAAACCATATAAAACCCTATCACCTGCAACACTGCTGATGTACTGTGCACTGTCAATCTAAGAGGAGGTATTGGTCATCTCAGCCCAAATTAGCATGGATGAACACAACAACGGCTTTCCAAAATGCAACCAAATTAAACGGCTTCAAAAATTCTGTATATCTGCCAAACTTCTCAAATGTTACACAGGTATTGAAAAGTGACTTATAATTTCATTCTCATGTACATGCTGGGAAGCACAAAATGGTAACATACAAATTAGACATTCCTGGATACAATCAAATGACCACTCACTGTTAGAAATGTCTGTTTTACTTCTTATTCTTTACTGCACTATTCCCATACTCTTAGTCTGTGTAAATCCTATTTCATACCGGATATCTGGCTACCCTTTGGGCTTTTTATGCCAGATTATTCACATTTCAGTCAATCAAATTGTACTGTACCTCTCAAAAACATATATTTTTGTAATCAGTGCCATAATTTGTATAATAAAACAATACCAGTACCTATCTTAACTTGTCCGTCAACACCTGTTGGAATACAATCTGTCAGTTATTATCCCTGCCAGTGAACGCTGACATATGCACAGAAGTGAAATTCAAGCTGACTGTGAGGGCTTCATTTACCTGAGGCTCCTGGAGCGAGGTCTGAAGTTGGGTGAGCGTCGACCGCTCTCCTCCACATCTAACATAACATTGCCCTCGCTGCCACTCAAATGCTGGGTGAGAAGGTTCAAGTCCTCCACCGTAGGCTGGTAAGGAAGCTGGTGGAGGCGCTCCTGACTGGAGCAGGAAGACTGGAGGATGGAAGGGGGCAGGGAAAATAGCAATAGTTGCAAGGTGACGATAATCCAGAGCGGGAGATACAGGAGCTGGAGCAATGGCTTTAGAAACAATGTTCAGTTCAAATACAACAAAGCAGATACCCTTACTTGGAAATACTGACAGGAAAGAGACCTTCAAGGACTTGCTGTAAACGGTTTACCCAACTTTCCTACAACAGTTACCAGGATTTTGATGGCAATACAATAGAAATTGGCTGAGCTGAAAATGGACAAGATTCTCCCAGTTAACCTTACCTGTTTGTTTCAAGAACCACCTCACTATATCAAAATCCAATGATGCCCACTGAGCTAATGACTCATTTTGGACACATGGCAAAAAAATCAGGGACACAAAGTCCCATCTACCGGTAAGTTCTAGTAAGAGTGCTGCCAGTATCGTGTCATTGCTGGGTATCAATGTTATGTAGACATGGTAAGCAAATATTGTAAAAAAATTACAGGACGAACCTGTTCTGTACTCTAAGTGGCTCCCACATCAGAAGATAAATCTACAAATTACTGACCAAAAACCCAAAGAATCTTACGGAAACATTTGAGCTGGGTGTGTTGGTTCCATAGCCAGAGGACGGCAGAGAAGCCAGAGACCATCGTCTACCATCAGCTTGTCGCACTGAAGCAAAGGGGAAATGGGCAGCAGCACCATGAGGGGGGACACGTGGGCTGTCCAGAGGGCTCACTGAAGGTCAAAGCAAATCAGACACGGTGTCAAACCTTGACTTTCTTTGAGAATGTAATCATAGATCACTCAGACTTTTTGTTTATGAAAGTCTTACTGCGGCATTTACATATGTTGTGTAATCCTCTCATCAAAAAAGCTTCTGTCTTCATAATGATTTAAAATAATGAACGAGGAACCAGGAACAACCTACTACACGTAGTACCAAACCCAAGAGCAGACCTTTTTGTTTACAAACACGGACCACAAATGAGTATGGACAGCAAAGGGTTACAGAAATCTCAGTTCTGTATGGCAACAATTTCTGCCTCGAAATTCACATTTGTCCTCATCAGTATTAACTTGGAAGGCATTTCCATTTAGCAGTTAATACAAGAACTTACTAATTAAAGTTTTAAAATTTTGTATAAAGTTTTGAAACACTTCATGAATGAATTACACTTTTGGCATTGCATTTACAGTCAGCCATCATTTTGGTAACTGCAGTTGGTTAAAACAGTGCTTGTGACATGGCAAAGAAAGGTCTATACGAGGTTTCAAGGAGGTACGGTATGCGTCAATTCTGTTGACATGCAACACATGTGAGGACAGGTGACCAGTCTATCTTTAGCATAATAATCAGGTTATCAGTATTCAGACAGGTTCCACTTGGCGATATTCTTTTGCTTAATTCAATTTCATTGCTTAAGTACTCTGTCAGCTTTGTCATCAATTCTTAACCGTGGTAATCCCTTCTGTTCTTACTCAATCGTGTCCATGTACATGTGTACTTTCAATCCACGGATGAGGGCTCCAAATTAATGATGGCATCCAGTTGAGGAAACTCCTTGTAGTCACTCTAAGTCACGGTGACATTACTTGCCCAAACAAATCAAGACATTGATGTTCCTAGTAATCTATACAATGTTTCCCTTCAGTGAGTGAGTTAAGAGTAAACCCCCTCCTCCCCGAAGGCTTAACTTTTCAGCACAGTCACCACCAAGAGAATCGGTCTCCTCCAATCAACCAACCGTGCACCAAACATCCATCTTTAAGTTTGTTACTGTTTCATGCTGACGATACCTTGTGATGCTGGCGAGACGGAACGTTTCTTCTGAGGTGATCGGTCCTTTCTGCTCCTTGATCGACTGCAGTAACTATAACGGTAACACAAGAAGAAGGCAAACTCCATTCAAACCTTTCTGGGAACTTCCTATGAATTTGTGACCAATTCAATTCTTCTGCATTAACTTGCTATTTCAATAATATCTCAGAATCTTTTTGTCAATGCTCATTTGAAATTTTTCCTTTAAAATTTTTAAGAGTGATTTTTCCCTCACATAAAATTTCTTTGAATTCTGAATGTAAGTTATGCATCAAAATCCAGCAGTTTCCATTGAAACTCTGCACCTCCAAACAGTTCATCACAGATAATTGGAGTAGTAGTCATGTAATGAAATCCCACAGGCCATTTTCTGGAGTGGCAGTACACGTATGTACAAATGTAGCTGCAATGCAGGCAAACGTGCAGAAGGAACTACCCTAACTGGAGTATGTTGGTTTTCAATGGGATTGCATTGAAACTTGGCATGCATAACAATTAAACCAATTAATCACCTTCCTCTCCGGGACAGGCTCAGATCCTTCTGTGGAGAAACAGAAAATATGTCAGTATTTTGGGTATTAGGTTTCACCCATCTGTGAGGGGTACTGAGACTGATGACTTGCAAATTACACTGTACAACATTGTCATCCACATCAGAATACTAAATATAGCCAGCTCGTACATGTACATGTAGGAACCAGGCCACCCTTAAAAAAGTTGTGTAATTTGCATTCTCGGAGTGGACAGTATTTGCAGCGGTGTGTGATAAGTTTACTCAGATCTCATTGGAAAAATGGCAATTTTAGAGAGATTTGATTTTTCTCCCCCCCCCTATCATCTTCCTACATTTACATCCCTGCATAGTACCGGGGTAATTCTTCACAGACTTAACATCTGTGTTCCTAAAATGAGACAAGAGCATGGGGGGAGGGTGACTAGGTCTAATCTATCTATCTGAAACATTCCAAAATGTGGGATTGGCTTTTGACCTTTTGCTACAGAAACTAACTCCTTTTCTTGCATTATTTTCATTTATGACCTCTACAAATAGAAGTTGATTGGAATCAAAATAAATTAATAAAGCATATAGTCACAAGAGATAAACTTGCTAAATAAAGTACATCCTGTGCTCCTACATGTCAAGTACTTGCTTATAAATGAAGGGAAAAATCTAAAGGAAAAAAAGTTGAAGTCTTGCACCAGCTTACCAATGAATTGAAAACAGAAAGCATGAAACGGTCATTTGGATTGTGTGTCATCATACATCACAACAACTGTGTTGGCACAGCACCACTGATGTGGATTACCAGGCCACAGTGACAAGTGTTTGTACTAAAGCAGCAACGTTCAGGTACATTACCTGTACCGATACAAGTGATCTTGGTACAGGCACATGTATGTACACGTACCTGGCAAGACCCATACCTACTGGTACAGGTCTCTGTATTTTCGTATGCAAAGTCTTGCAATGCAGAGATCTCAGAGAACTCAGTCTCACAGGTGCATGGCACTGAGGTGATGATGGAATGCTTAATTCCACCGCAGTCCCCAGCGAATAAAAATAATATTTGTCGTGGCACCCTAGGGGGGCAATTGCCGGAATGACTTGTTTTACAATTGATTTCGGAGGGATGTCAATCCCCTCTACTGCCAGCGCAGGAAGGCTGGGGTTATTTTCTTATCAAACACCTCATCGCTCGGAATCAATGCATCAGTAAGCAGACGGCACTGCCAGTTTATTCAATTGATTTGAAGAGATGGCAATGCATTCTGGGAAATTTAAGCAGCCAGGTCATCTTAGTGAAACAGATGAAGGTATAGTTTTACAGACCTGCCAACAAGCCGTGCTCCTTCCTGAGGTCAGGCATTACGACATGATAGATTTCTGAATGAATTTTAAATTTAAAATACCTTTTTTTATCTATTGTGTGGTAATGCCTGACCTCAGGAAGGAGTACGGCAAGGTTGGCAGGTCTGGTTTTACAAATCTGTCCGGACATACATATACTTGTTTCATATAAAAAAGGAAACAAAACAATTTTTGTTAAAGTTTGGTATGCTGTTTGGAAAACTTTTTTTACTTTTCAATTAAATGTTTTGACAGCATTTACCCCCTCATCCCTCATACACAAGAAAAATATCTGCCAGAGTTCAGTTTAAAAATGTTTTGGACTTGTTTAACAAAAAATACATGTACCAGGAACTGATTTTAGTGAATTACTATGGAGGAAAAAAACTAGGTTGGTTGTGAAGTGAAAATCATCCAGCAATCAAGCCACATTTTATTCATGTCTTGTGGCACTTTGGCTGACAATTTGTTTAACAGTATTCTGTAGAGGGTTTGCAGGGATGCCACGTTGAAGGCCAGTGCTTTTGTCCCATAGGATATGCACAAAGCAGGTTTCCCTGTGGAATAAATGAACTGCCCTGCAAGATGGCTACCACGCAAAGCCTCTATACACTACAGTAGAACTGGATGTTGAAAAGATACACTATGAAGGAACATGTAACAGGCCTACTTCAGCAAAAAATCAACACAAACCTGACACTGCTTTTCTTTTGTGACAACAAAACTTTCCAAGTCGGGGTACAGATTAGATGTCCCTCATCTGAACTGGATAACCAGCAAACACCATCAAGCCTCTACTCTAATTTGATCTTACAGCGAGTAAACTGAGACGTGGTCAAAACAGGCAAAGTCGAAAAGGCAATTTGTCACCCGACCGCAAGACATATAAAGGTGGTCTATCAACATGTCCAGGCACACAAAAAGTGATGCACTGGGATTTGAAAAGCCTTTAATATGACTCCATTTTCTCGTCTCCGAATCTGGGGCAGTAAGGAGGATCTTGATCCAGCATTCCTTGCCAGTCAGGATGAAACTGGACCCCTGTGGATTGAACGCAAGAGCCCCCCCATTCAGCTCCAGTGTGACGTCTAACAAGTTCACCAGCACTTTTTCACACCCTTGTCTCCCCTTTGGGGACTGTCTGACGGCTTGCCGATGAAGACACGGCGACATCACTGATTGAGTCTTGGCAATTTGCTATGACCTAATTAAGTTTCAACCGTCTGTTTGCATTTGTTTTTTCCGGATTAATCAACAGCCGCCAATTACTGTAAGCAATACCAGGTCCTGCACCAGGACAGTGCAACAGTTGAATGGTTGGACATTTAGAACTTAACCAATTTCAAAAGTCTTTTTACAACATCTACAATGTAAGCTGAACAAAGGGGAGGGGGGAAGAAACCTGTCCAAATTGTGCTTAGACAAAGTTTGAGTTGACCCAAGTTCTCAGAATAGCATCTATTCTCCACCTTTTTTGGTGCATATTGCAGTTCAGTCAACAAATTGAATAGGGAGTGACTATCAATACAGTACACCACCAAAATGTTGCCACAGAAAGGCTTCTTTTCAAGGTTACTGTCAACAAAAAAGCTGACATTGCCTCTGATTTACTTCCGAAACATCCTGGTCACACAGCTTGACTTAACCACTGCCCTTGGAAACCAGATGCATTCCCCTGGCCCAGCTCACTGCTAAGGGTCTGCAGGTCCAGTGCTACATGTATATCACAGAGGTCAAGTGGTTGAAGGAGACAGGATACAAGGCTATGGGTATTCCTTCTGAACACAGTGTGCAAATTATGTGTGACTAGCACTACACAACACCTTCCATTTTAATTGGTTAATGCTGACAAGTCAGTCCTCATAGTGTTTCCGCGGCGGTCATGACATTGCACAACTGGTCCCACTAAAAGTACATGTAAAATGGTAAAAGGAAGCTTTTCTCTGCATTTCATTATGCATATTGTACTCCTGAATATCCTCATCGACTGACACCTACCGGTACTGTGAGAGCGTCTGTATATCACTGGTACAGTCCTACATTTGTTTGTCTTGGCAAACCAAGAATTCGGGACCGATTGTTTATTTTCTTTGTAAGAGTGTGCATATATGTTTCTGAAGTTTTCAAAGCAACCCTTACAGTGCATGTACATGTACTGTACTTCTGCATGAATTCACAGGAACACACATTGCCAAATGTACACCACTGCTGCACTCTGTGACATGGATGTTTGCTGTGACTTCAAGCAGCTGTCAAGGTTCCTGAAGAAATACACAAGCGAGGGTCACGCAAAACCAGGCCAAAATTGGCGGAACAGAAAAAAACAGATGCTGACATCAAATGACTGCATAATTATGATGGCCTTTCAAATGTCAGAGTATCACTGCAAACTGCTCTTACTTAATTGCAGCTCAGCCATATTTATTCTTCTTTCTTTCATATATGGTACACGTACTAGAAAAATAATATAACAAGGGATTTATTCTATAAAGACTTCATCATTACCGAGAATGAGTAGAGAAGGTTGTTGGTATGTACACTGTACATGTACATAATACTTAAGAATATTCACCACCACAAACTAAAAATACAGTTCACCCATGTATGCATGTATATGAATGAGGGTAATTCCAGAAATTAGGGACCCGTCCATTCTCTTTCCTGTCCCTATCACATCTGACAAAAGATTTTATAAGTTAAGAACACTTTTTCTAATTTCCAAGAGTGATGAATTAATGCAAAATACCTACCAAACAAATAGTAATAGTTTGAAATCAATTTTGGTGATATTACCATGTCAAATACTGCAACTATTAAAGGTTAAATGTGCTAGTAACAGGGACATGAAACGTCACACTTTTGGACGTTACCCATGGAATTACCCATGTTCTACGTATACATGTTTGCCAGTTATCACCAAAACTATTCATTCAACACCCAACTACATGTATTGGTTGAGCTTGGTAAGATATGATGTTCTAGGATTTAACAATGTGTCAGAACACAACCACAGGGCACACAAATCATCCTGAGTCAGCCTTCAAGAAACTTGTAATGAGAACTACAAGCGCTGACAAGTGCAGCACAGATCCCCCTTTCAGAGTACAGCATGTGGAAACTTGATTTCCCAGGAGTCCTCGATCTGTTTAATGTTCAATATATCTCTTACTCTCATCTGCATGTTCACCACCTTCCCCTCTGGGATAACGTTGAGCATATTTCTTGCAACTTCAATCAAGAGGTTGCTCTACCGTTTGTGACTCTTTACATTTCGCATGCACATGTACGATGGCTCTGTGAAATGTGTTGATCGTTTTGACTGGATTGATTCAGCAGCATCCGTTTGTTTGTTATCGTCACTGCCCACTCCCTGAAAGCTTTCCATGCCATGCACCTGGGTGCATGCTGTAACAAGAGTTTATCCATTAAATCAAGAAAGAATCAACAAAACCAATTGGAAGTGGCGTGTAGCATGAATAGATATTTTCTAGCAAACCTCCTGCTTAAAACCAGGAGAAATCACTTCTTGGACTTCTGCGGAGAATAGTCTATTAAAAAACTTCTAAACTGCACATTAATTTCAGCATAACAAAGGAACCAACTGCATTTTCCCTGGTGTGCATGTGCACGTATGTAAGTTTACATGTACTATTACGTGCATGCTATAACTCCATATGTACACATATGTACATGTACGTATGCCTGCTGGGATGTACCGCACACACGTACATCTTTGCTCAAAATAATTACATTTATGCCAATTTATACAAGGCAACAGAACACCAATCACTTCTAAGGCCTCCTTGCGGCAGTCACTAACCTAACCTAATCAAATAGCCATTTTTCAAATTTCCTGCAAAGCTTTGTTCAATCAAAGGGACAAAAATCAAATGTCTTGGAAATTTGGAATATGCACTGGGAAGAAAATTTATACTTTCATGTCATATGCAGTGAACCACTGCACTGAACTTATGAACACAGCTGGGCATTTTCGTATACTGATATTTTTGCATGATTTGCTAGTCTTAAATGACTAGAGCTCAAACAAGGTATAACAAAAATTATGTAGGTATGATAATGCAGAAGGCAAAATCACTGATTAGCGACAAAGGAACTCACTGACTACACCTACATGTAGATCACTGAAGACAAGGGAAAAACAAGGTATCCGTGTACAAGCACATATATGTATGGCCGCATCCCCTGTCATTGACAAGTTCCTAAATACTGACAGACACTGTGGTTTTGTGGTGAAGTCTGACTCATGTTATTTGGTAGAAGCTCCAAAATAACTGGGTTGAGATCTCCTTGGCAAGTGTTGGAGATGTCTTTGCCCCTGGGTTAAGAACAACTGACAGTAAACCATCTTTTCAAATAGACAATTGTGAAAATGGACAGGACGGTTAAAATCAGTCCATGTGTAGATTGTATAGAAAGATGTTCAAGTCTTACTGTCAGAGCATGCTAAATGCAAGATAAAGATTTCAGAATTAATTGAAGATGCTTTGATTTTGCTGGAACAGGTAGAGGTTAACAAAATCTTCAATCAAATAACATCAAATGGTATTTATAATTCCAAGTATTTACCAAACTTGCAGATAACGAGGGTGCTGATTGACCGAGCAGGTGCCGTACTCTCTGCAGATTGGATGACTCTCCCAGGGTGAGCGCATTCGTGGTGCTAGTATGGTACCCCGTATTGGGTCCCGCTGCTGGAGAGAACTGCTGTGTGAGCAGCCCAGCCCCGCCAAGGCTACCTCGACGCGCAATACGACTCTCATCGATAGACAGAGGGCGCCCTAGTCGGAAGCTCCGAGGGAAGGAGTTGGCAAAGCCCACAGCAGTGGCACTGGCTGGCTTAGGGCTGCTATAGTCACCTGGTCCTCGCTCTTCATCATAATCCGACTAAAAAGGAGAGAAAAATAAAGAGAAATTTTGTTGACAAATTTGTAACCTTTTTTGATTCAAATAAGATCAATTATAAACAATTAACAATTCCAAGAAAAGAACTTTTGAAAATTTGTATTTCCAAAAAAAAGAAGACAATCCTAATATCCATATCTTAAAAATTTTCCGCCGTCAACTACAAAATTGACTCTATTCTAAAATCTCAAAAAGTAGGCACTGAATTTTGAAGTACAGAAACACTGCTGACCAACTTCAACCCTCATCACCATCATTGCCTATGGCAACCAAATTGGCAATCAAATTCTAATAGGATCTCGGGGAAAGGATAATTTATTCCTCTTTGAACCCAGTTGACCTTGTCGAAACAAATCAAAGTTAAGCAAGGAAGAGGGGAGGCACAATATTTGATTCATTCCACAGTGTGATTGGGATCTCCGAACCAAGAGGACAGTACCCCAAAAGCTTCTCTGAGAAACATGAATTACAATGCAAATAACAAAAAGACACCCTTGACAACCAAATTATTTAAAAACAAAATTCAAGGGATTTTTGTTTCATCAGTCAGTTGCAGAGTAAATCAGTGGATGCTATTAAATATGTAAATCATTTTACAAGCAAACCTAGTAAGTCAATGGAAATTTCTAACCATGTTTGTTCCAAATTCAGTTACCATGAGACCGCAGCTGTTGTCTGCAGTGTGATCTCAAATCATCAAAGCTACTCGTCTATTTTGTTTTCTTTTAAACTGAAAAAACTACATTAAGCTGAAAGACTGAAGCACCAAAGCTTCAATATTAGGAGGCAGAGTACTTCAATTGTGTACAGGTGCGAGCATATGCTGAAAATACCCTTCTCATCTTAATAGAATTTAATCAAATGCATACATCAACAACAGTGTTCTGTCTGTCTGTCTGTCAGGCTGTGTTTCACTCCCACAGACCGCTGCATTGACTTTTCCACCTCTACCTAATCTATGTTCTTTTGCTGCTCAAATACAATTTTACCACTTTGTGCATGTGTTTGAGCATGAGATTGTCTGTTTAGCCTGTTTCACTCTACTCCAAGATGATGGCTATTTCATCAATCTTCTGCCCTCTGTCTATTCCATCTTCCTTCTCTTCCCCATATAGTCACCATTTCCCTTGATGTCATCTTTCTAACTTTCCTGCTCCCCTCCTAGCAAGCTGGTACCCACAGAATCCAATCCATTGTTCTCACTGTCCATCTTAAATCATACCATTTGTCCAGATGTCCCACAGGGTTGACACTTTGCAGATAACTAGAAAGGAAGTTTTATAGATGACAATTGACTTCATGTGATGATGACTTCATCAGTTGAGAAGTCAAGTGACATTAAAGGTGCACTCTACAAAGCACTTTACATGTATTTCCTGAAATGCGTGTCTGATTGTGAAATCTTAGACACAAATGGTCATGATGACATAATGACACCATCAGGTTTGTGCAGTGAATTAGTTGTTCAATTTTATAAAAGAACGCAAAAAAAGCCCTCTGTTCTATTGGCCAACAGACAGAGAAGCTCTAGTTTTATTTCTCAATCTGTCAGTACCTACAGATATGTACATTTGCACATGTACATCTTGACCTTTTTCTACCAGCACATCTCCCAAACACAGACGTTGCTGTTTATGGCAAGTAAATGTCTACATCTTCTTTAAAAAACTTCACAAACTCAAAAAAGTCATCTTGGTCTTTTAACTTCTAATGAAACCTCATCCTGCGCTCTTGGAAGCAGTGCAAAGGAAGTACCCGTAGTCTTAGAAGACAGTTGCAGGAAACGCTACTGTCTGTGGTGTTTGGCACGTGAACAATGAATTGTAACGTAGCTAGTGATGCATTCTGTTGGCCTGACGGCCTGAATTGACTGTCACAACAGCCTCTGAAAGACCCTGTGTCATTCAAACCTATCTAGAGGTTGTTCTGCCAGATAATACCATTATGACTCGACGCCTATCAGGTTTTACCGAGAGATGTGTTGTCTGAAAAGTCGCTCCCTGCTCACGTTGGAATGACGTCAATGGATTTTTAAGGTAGACTGGAGAATAGGATTTTGCAGTGTGTACGGAGTTTTTCTTTTAGAAAGCCACTCTACAAGAACAAAGAGTCTATCTTCAATGTACAGATATATTTATCTCTTTGTACCGGTAACTTGCATCCCGTTTTCAAGATTTGAAATGTTTTGAATTTACAGGAAATTTTTAAAATCAATTAATGCAATTTCTTCAAATTTCTGTGATGTTTTCACAGATTTTAAGTACCGTAGTAGCCTACTGTGTGTAGAGCGTTGAATTACATTTAACCCAAAGTACTCCGATTTGTATCATCTTGTTTTGAGCATTACATTCACACGTACTGGAAGTACACTGCATTCTCTACATTTCCACAGCTACGGTACATGAACATGTAAATTTATGAATACTGTGTATGTTTCTAGAAGTGTACCGGTACTCTGTAAAAGGAGTGTCAAATGCCAAGATATTCCAACAGGTCTCTTGATACCAGCTAAGGTTTTTACTGGATAATTCAAGAAATTAGGGGTCCAAAAGCATGACATTTTTGTGTCCCTGTTACATCTGACCTTTGTTATTTTACATGGAAAAATCACTGGAATTGATTTCAAACTATTACCATTTGTTTGGCAGGTAATTTACATTAATTCATCACTCTTGGAAATCAGAAATGTGTTCTGAACTTACAGAATCATACATGTATGTCAGATGTGATAGGGACACCAAAAAAAATGGAACCCTAACTTCTGGAATTACCCAACTCCATTTGCTTCAGTTCTTCCGTGATTAAAGTTTTACAGATTATCCTTTCCTTCTGAGGATCTCACCATTTAAAAATTGTTCTTTCTGAAATGTCAGTCTACACTGGTTGCAAATATCTAAACAAACAGATTTGAGATGTTTGTAAGTTCGTGTCTCACCATTTGTTTTCGGGCCAATTCTTCAAAATTTTGGGCACTCAGCCGGACTTTAATTTTGCCATGCACTCCTAGCATCAAAGATTCTAGCTTGATGTCTGCATGTTGGCAATGGATCCACAAATCAATAAATCTTGCCAAAGAGTTTACAAGAAATCCTAAACTACCCCTCTAGACTTGATGTACATCATACATGGACTGCACATGTATCAGCTGATAGAATCCAAGAAGGATGTGAACACGCAGTAGGGGTTAATCAGGGTGGGCCAGGCAGACATGGAAATGCATACGTGTTGATGAAATCTCGCCCCTTTTGCCTATTATAGACCTTCCCCACTGATAATGAGCATTGAGACGGAGACTATGCCCCCAAGATACTGAACCAATCCCATAAAATCAGAATGGATCGCTATCGATGTATACAGCTCCTGGGGGTAACAAAAAAGTTCATTAAATGTCAGTTTTCTGCACTGCAATCACTGTCCTGTTCATGAAATATTACTTTCAGGGTGAATGGGTGAAAGAGTAGATCCACATTTTATTTATTTTTTTTCTCTCAAGATGATACCGCTTTTAGACAGTTCGAGTTCCGGAGTGTGTTGAATAGATTTATAGTCGTGACATTCAATTTAGCCTCAAGATAGCCATACATAATTTAGCTTGGGGGTTGTGATCTTAACACTGTGGTCATTTGAAAGTACCTGGTTGGCAGTAAAAAACATGAAATACAAAACCAATGTCAAATTGACTAAGCCTCAGCTGCAATGATAAACACGGCCTACGTGTTTACCATACTTTGATGGTTCCATTTAAGTTGGTACCATAAAGAGTGAATAATTTGTCTTCTTTCAGAAGAGACCACAGGTGTGTTGGTACATTCTTAACCACATCAAGTGAAATCAGATGTACATGTAATGAGGACAGAATTCTGAAAAGAGCTAGTGTAATAACAAAAAGAGTTCACGAGAGTACTCTAGGAGACCTTGGGAAAATAACGTTCACAGCATTATCAATTTCTAAAGAACATGCAAATGGTTGTGTGCTCTGGCAACAGAGCTATACAACCAATATTTCTACAGCCCTTTCCACAAAATGTCAACCTTTCAGTGAGACTAGACATCAAGAAACACAATTCCATATCCACTTTCTCCACAGTTTAGGGGAGCTCTGTTCAAGATTTTTGGCTGTCAACTGAGATTTTGCAACTTGCTGACTTGGCAAGAACCTCTTTCACTTCAAGCTCACACTTCCCAGCCTGCTTGCCAGTCCCTTAGCTCATTCCAGCTTACACTTCAACAGGTTACCGGATACTCTTAATTCTAAGGAAGCAATACTCCCAGAATGATAAATTTTCACAGTCAAGATGCATCTCCGTTAAGAAAATGAAAAGGTTAACGTGTTTGAAAATTTGTGAAAAGATTGACAGAATATGAATGTAAATAAATGGAAAACCTTTTTTAAATGAATACTCTTCTGCTCAATTAGAACTCCCATCAAAACTTCTGGACTACAGATTTTTCTTACACCTGAAAAACTCTTCCAGTTCATAATCTTCGACAACTGTAATTGCTTCATTAAATGCTTCTATTTCTTACAAGACAAATTCCAAAAATTCACAGTTCCATCATAGCCCATCCCTATGCCTCATGCACATAGCAAGAATTCCAAAAGGTCTGCTGAGGAAGTACGGACTGACAGTACCACACAAGCAGGATTCCTGATACTGTCATAGTACATGTACCACACAAGCAGGATTCCTGATACTGTCATAGTGATAGCCTGTGAGTGATGCGATATCATCAGCGAAGGTCAATCACAAAGCTGAACACTACCCCAACCAAGTTATGTCACGCAACAGACATTTACAGGAGAACATTACATTCATACATGTAGCTTGTGCTTTGCAACAGCTACATGCACTTCAGGTTTTGTCCTTGCTATGATAAAGAACAGCAACTTCGGACAATAATACCCTTCATTCAAACACAGCCATATCTACACTGCACAACCCCACCGAGGCAGTATTGTAACACAGCATGTATTTCACCAA